ATTGCAGTCTAAAGAAAGTTTCGGTCCTTGAGAATAACTGGCGTCTTATTGTGCAACGCAGATAAGGCAAACGGAGTCAGTTTTATCAATTTCTATTTTGCTTCGCTTTGTTTTATTTTCTTGTCATGGTTGTTGTTGATTGAATGACTTAAGACCTATGCCCTTGGTCACACTGCGTGTTTAGGTGTAAGTGATGTTTGTAAGACAATAAAAGCATTAAAAAAAATTTAAAAAAAAAAATCGCGCGTTTTATGAATTCATGATATACAGAAAATTAAGGTACAATAGCATGGTGATTCGAGACAAAAGAAGATTAGAATGATTGATCTGACTAAAGGTAAGCGTAAGCCTTATCATCACATTCGTCTCACGAGACAGTGAAGGAGGACATTTTGTTATGGCTCAACGACCTCAACTAACGGGAAATTGTTTTTCTTATCTGCGAAGTGGCTCACATCTGGTAACATTTAACTTTATACAGACTCGGCGAGCTCTCTAGGCTACCTCGCAGTCTTAGGCAAACGTTGGTTTTTCGGACATTGGTCGGATATTTGGAAATCTCTGAATATAACCATACTAGAGCTTTTTCCCGTTGTTTTGGCAAATGAGATTTGGGGCGCCATTATGTGTAATCATTGCATTGTTTTCTTTTCGGACAATCACGCTGTGGTCGTTATTATAAACAAACAGGCCTCCCGTGAACCAGAAGTTATGGTCTCAGTTAGTTCGCAGACTCGTGCTAAATTGTCTCAAATATCCCATTATGTTCCTTTCATTACATAATGTTGGCCTTTACATTAGGACGCCCTTTCTACAGGTTAATTATGCGTCGTAGCAATGTTGTGTGCATGCGACGGCCTTCACTTACAATCAGTAAATACAGAGATCGTTCTGGATTTTAATGGCCACTTAATTGGCGTTTAATTGGCAATCACTAACAAGTTGTGATTACAATAGCACACTGTTATAACGAAATTATAAATCACTATGGCATTTCAACTCAGGAAAAACTGGGTGGAGGCAAATTACGCCAACAGCCACATTCTGTGGCAAACCCCACCAAGGCCGAGCACGCACACCAAGCACAAAAACAAATGGCGAGTTTAAGAATTAAAAATAAGCCAGGCCAACCTCCGATGGTAATCGGCTTTCTAGCCCATGCCTGCCGAGAGCCGATTATTCCTACAGGCATTGAGTAAAACGTAAAAACCCTAACCTACGAAAAAAGCCCAAGAAGGACAAAAAGTACGTCAGGCAATACATCAGAAACACCAGGCCAATCTCTGACGTGTTTCCGGTCTGTATAATAAGAACACAAATAAAATCGTCTCTTCAGCCCAAGCCTGCCGAGAGCCGATAACTCTGAATGATATAGACCTTAAGAAAAATTTCTTTGTGAACACCAGGCAGTTCTCCAGCCCATGCCTGTCGAGAACTGACTATTTGGTCGTTATAAACGGGTATCAGCCCATGGCTGCAATAACCGAAAACGAACCTAATTTGCCCACGCAGTTGGCGATCGTATGTATAACTTAAAAGTGCATCGGATTTCCAACGACCAAGACCCCGAATCTGCGCGTCAGACATGCCGTTTTCCGCTGGTAGACTAGCTGCACCAATACGAAAAGAGTGCGATTTCTAACTGGAACAGTGTAAATCACAAAAAGCAAGGGCTCCTTTGAGCTGCCGCGTTAAGACCTCCGTTTTGACGGCTGAGCCAAAAAAGTGCACCAGAATTGGATCCTCTCATCCGGCACCAGCGTAGTAAAAATTCAACAGGACAGAATAGGCGTTTTTCCTCGGGGGATGGGTACGGCTGCACGTAGGCTATCCCATTGTGTAACTTGCGTCCCAGCATAATTTATTCCGTACCATGTGACCGGATCCTGCGGCTACACGTAGGCTAACAATGGGACTTCCAAAACAAAGGAACTCGTACCAGTCCGGCCCGACCTCCCTTTCCTTTGTGGTCGCTCATGGGGTTTTGATCGTGAGTTCACCCACTCGAAAAACTCCATAAAAGCCACGAGAAACATTGTTTGGAATAATAAAACCTGATAGGCGGGCGTGATGGTGTGACTTAAAGCCAGCACCAATTTATGTAATACTGAGAGCGAGTGACAGGCAACCGTTTGTCCGGTTTTGAGCAGAGCCTGCTTTGAGCAGTCGTGATCTTTTGTACAACAAATGCTTTGGTGGGATCAGAGAAAGATCCAATTTTATGGACATAGCTCAAGGCGAAAATGTAAGTCGAAATGGTAGAAGGTGCCAATTTTTTGGCCACAAAAAGTACTATATCACTGACACTCTGTGGAAGCTGTGGGAAAACTGTGCCACAGTATCTGGTGGAAAAATTTCAGAAATGATTCCATGTTTGTTCATACGTTTTGCGTGACCCCGGTGATGTAGCAGAGTGCATAAAGCGTTTTAAGTTAGCTTCCAATTCTGCGGTAGTAGGCTGCTATGAACCGGGGTGGGTTGAACGTCTGCCTGTGGCGCAAGAAGCTTGAATTTGTCTACCTGTAAGTGAGACAGTAAATCACATTCTCGGTTTAAAATGCCTGGTATGTGTTTAGATTTGAAAAAAGAAAATGTTATTTATGTTGGGACCAAAGACAAGCTTATCAGTAGATAACAGCTAGGGAGCGGCATTGTGATAAGCATTTTTCTGGGTAGCCACTGCGGTTTATTAGACGCCCTTTTATCTGTCACGTGGAGAATCATCAGCTATGTAATGGCTACGACACGTAAGTTCTTTCCCTTTTTCTTCGATCAAGCTCAGCGAGCACATCCCAGCGAAATTGAAAGTCTATCGCTTCTCATTTTGTCCCGCCGCCCCCCACAAAGCCTCCTCGGTTGTTTTCTAATCTTGTTTTTATTTTTGTGAGGTCGTAATTTGCCCCCACCCCCTGCCCCCACCTAATTTTTACTGAGTTGAAATGTTATAGTTATTTATAATTTCGTCATAACAGTGTGCTTTTGTACTCACAACTTGTTAGTGATTTTTGTCAATTAAACGCCTCTTAAGTGGCCATTAAAATCCAGCACAATCTCTGTATTTACTGACAGTAGGTGAAGGCCGTCGCATGCACACAAATTTGCCACGACATATAATTAACCTATTGAAAGGGCGTCCCAATTTAAAGAAAATTAATGTACAATAGCATGGTGATTCGAGACAAAAGAAAATTATAATGAAGACAACAAGCAACATGGATGAAAATCAGTGCAATATTTTACTGAGTTGACGCTGAAAATAAGCGGTCTTAAAATGCTTCAATAAATTTGAAACTCCGGGTTTACGTTGAATACGGATTAATCTCATTGAGGGCCAAGTATTTAAAAAAATTCATCGAGTGTTGTTTTTAATTCCCGCTCAATTCAATAATTTTAGGGGCAATTTGTGATAAAAAGCAAAATAACACCCCACACCAGTTGATATTCAAGCCACCGTTTCTGAAAGTCAAACTGAGCGATTTCTCTGGGATTTTCACTAGAGGTAATTAGATGTCATAAGATTCATTTAAGACCAGAATACCATTTAGTCAAGTCTTGTGGACATAGTTTGCAATAACATTGAAACAGCTTCGTTTTTTGTATTTTGAGACCTTGAAACTTCACTCTTAATTTTCTCGAAAACGCTCCGGTTATAGATTTTTTTAAAATCTTGCCATCGTCAAGACAACTATGTCAAGTCCGAGATCCCGATGTCGTATTTCCATAATAATCCCTGATGGAAGTTATTCGGTCTTATGTAAAACGGGGTATGACGTTATTTCGTTGCTATGGTAACGCAGATCCTGGGTGAAATGTACCCCATTCGAAACTTCCATCTTTCTCTAGTACAGCAGTAACTTTCGATTTTCTGTTGGTTTGATTATGCTGGTGCTCTTGTCGCTCAAAGTTGAACGGTATCGTTACTCAAAAATCCCATCGAGCCACCTTAAGATGTTTCTTCAATAAATGGAACATGCATGTCACATGTTGCCAGATCAATCAAAATAAAAGATTTTGTACCTATATGTGAAGATACACTGACTGTTTTTCCTCCGTTTTTCGTGAAAAAAATCAGTTATCCTATACAAGAGCTATCGAATCAATTTTACGCTTCAGTTAAAATTGCTTAGAGCTTAGGAGCCGGAAAAACGAACGGGTCCGTACGTCATTGTCTATTTTGAGAAAAAATTTGAAGGTTAGGGTTTAAAGTTGTCTGTATAGTTCATCAATGATCGGGAGAAGGAAAAAAATTGAGATATTTGCCCACCCTCGCTGTGCGTCACAAACAAATTTGCCGCGTGAAGGTTATATAACAGTGAAAATACTGCATGTTTGGATCCTAATTTGAAGGTTAGAGATTAAAGTTGCTTTTATAGGTCATCGATGACCGGGAGAAGAAAATGAGATATTGCCCACCCTCGCTGTGAGTCACAAACAAATTTGCCGGCTGAAGTTTGTTTGCATCGTAATTTAGAGGTTAGGGAGTAAAGTTGTTGCTATATATGGTTCATCCGGCAACTTGATGCTCTGGACAAAACTTGAGATCATTTGCTCACCCTTGCTGTACGTCACAAGCACATTTGCCGCCTGAAGTTTATAAAACAGTGAAAATATCGGCGTTTTAGTTGTATGTTTCCTGATGCACACCACATGCCGAGGGATTTTGCCGAGAATACGAAAGTTTTTTTATCGCGGGCTCTCACCTCTGGCGCGCGCGCAAAATACAACAGCAAATTTTTCGTTGAAATAAATTTGGAACCAAACCTTGTTATAATGTTTGCCAAAATCAAACGTTATTGATATTGCTTTTGAGTTTCCTCCCTCGTGTAATTGAGGTTACATTTTTTTCTCTACTTTGATCAGTTTTTCTTAACGGAAATGAGGCAGTCCAGCAGGAAGCTGTTAGGCGCTCTATATTGTATTCCTTCAATGCTTGTTTCTCTAGTTTAATTAACAACCCATTGCTGTTTTTTGTTTATTTATTCCAATAACTGTGTACGGTACCTAACTTTCACCATTTTTTATCAAGTACTTTTAACTTCGCTTTGTTGTTCATCAGTATTTTTGTGTTTCGGCCTAAGACTGAAATTGAAACTAAAATCGAAAATCGAAATGAAAAATTGCGGCTCTCGTATCTTGGCGTGTTATTACCATTTAAGATAGCATCATTTATTACTTCCGGTCTCGTGCAAGAGAACTTATTTGCAGCTGGTCCGTTTCGCCTCATCGATCGCTTTCCTTTTACATATATTGAGTTCAAATATTGTAGGAATATATAATTTCTCGGCGGAGACACAGTAAGAGGTGATCAAAGAATCGAAGACACTTCAGCAGCTTTTAACTACCACTTTCGTTTATCTCTCTCTGCTCTGTTCCTCTTACTATTTGCTTTATTCTACACGCACTCTATCATGCAAAATTAACCTTGTGTAAGAAGAAATGTATTTGTCAAATAGACATCCAAGTCCATCAACAAAATAAATGCGAGAACTGAAAACTGTTAAAAAAGCAGTATTTTATGGTGAGCAGTAATCGTCTTTGACCTGTAATGCGCCTTAAAATGATTAGAAGCGTTTGAATATCTGTTTGAATCACGTGAAATAACGAATTAACGGTATATAGGATACATTTTTCAACGGCTTAAAGCGAAATACACAGTTCGCTCCTAACGGCGTTTAATTAAGAGAGAGGGTTGGAGGAAGAAACACAAGGCATTTGAATCTGATTATATTGTTTATATTATTCGAGACGAGCGCTATCGACGCTTCTCGTAATTAAACTTCCCTATAATGTAGATCTATATTTAGACACCACCCTCGTCTGAGTGATCAAACAATAGTGACAGGTGTTTGTAATACTATGGGCTTAGCCAGTCATCTTTTGATGGTAGAAAAATAACCAGTCTGCGTCAAAGAAAGGAAAGTATAACAAACATTTTCTAGCCGGATATTTTTCAATAAGCACACATCTCCGTGGTTTTGTATGACTCTCTTGAGCTCGAAATGTAGCCATCTCTTGTTCAACGGATCACAGCACATCGATTAGATTGTCAGTGGGGCAGTAAAAGTTTCTTTGTTTTAATGTTTACCGCAAAGGTCGCCCTCTGAACGCTATAATCCTGAACTGTCTGCTTCAGTTAACGTCTTCTAAATTTGGCGAGAATTGGTGCAATGACTGACAACATGGCGGCCCATAACCAATGCGATAATGCTTCATTCACAGATGACGAAGCTTATACCTGCAACAGGGTGCAAGAGATGACTTTTTTGATTTCCTATGCACTTGTTGGCGTCGTAATGTTCTTCGGAAACTCCTTCGTGTGTTTGGTCTTTCTAGCCTCCAAGAAACTACGTCGCAACTTTATGAATATTTTCCTGTTGAGCCTGTCAGTTTCTGACATGCTGATGGCGTTGCTTATCGTGCCATTTTACACCGTGCACTGTTTTCGAGACTGCTCACACGTTTTAACTCCGTATTGCTGGCTTTTGAGGAAGGCCAGAGACTTTGCTTTGACCGCTACGATGTTAAACACGTGCGCTATATCCTATGATCGATACCTCGCCATTCTGCGGCCGCTACAGTATGGAGTGAAGATGACCAGGCTCAGAGTTGGAGCTATCTTAACGTTCGTGTGGCTGATACCTGTTGTGGTAGCCGTCACACGGAACTTCTGGCACCATTCGGCGCAGGGCGAAGAACGCCGGCATCTTACAGTCAAGTTGTACGATGTGGCCGTAGTGATCGTGCCCGTTATTCTCTTCCAGACCGTAATTTTGGCGGTAAACATTCAGATAATCCGCAAAATCCACCAGCATAAAAAAGCCACTCGCAAGACTGACGTTACGTCATGCCCGAGCGAACTAACGCGAGATCTGAAGGAAATTTCCAGACTGATAAAGGGGACTACGTCTTGTGTTTTAGTCGTTTTAACATTTGTAATATCTTGGCTGCCCAAAGCTGTGCATAATTTTAGCTATGTGTTCGATTCTCCGGACTCTGTCTTATCGAGTCCACTGTTCTTCCGAATCTGTTTTCTTTTCTTATTTATACAATCTTGTTTTAACCCTTTTATTTACACGGTTTACAGAGCTCAGTTTAGAAAAACTGCTCGAAGTGTTATCTCGAAGTGGTGTTGTTAAGTTGAAGATCACAATAACAATAAGAGGAATAAAGAAGAGTTTCCGGGCTTTTCTCAAACTTTGAACATGGAAGACTCAGAATATGACGAAGAGGAGCCTTCATGCAAGGTCGTTGTCTATATTAGTCAAAGACCGGTTAAGTTATCACAAAACGCTACCAAAAATCAAATAAGGCTTAGTTCTTCTTTAACCGAAAAAAAAAAAAACTGTAGCTGAGAGTATCATTTTCTTATTTTTTGTCTTTATAACTCAGTGGTGTAGTCTCTTAAGAAGATTATGTCTTTGACAGTTAAAATGAGAATTTGAACTGCTGGAGTGAGCAAATCAAACAGAATGCAAAATGACTGTTACCGTGGGTTATCACGAGTGTCGTGTTATCTCTCGTTCATCAGTCGGTAATTTCAGGTAAGACATAACAACAGATAATTATACATGGCCTAGTCAAAACCCCGTCAAAACTGAATATCAATGACGATGCAATAGTCAATAAATATCCAAATGAAAACTGAAGTTTCTATTGAGTAATTATCCGAAAACTTGCGAGCTCCGTAGAATTACCTTTATGATCTATGTAATGAGTCAACTTGAAGGGGTTTCAACTGAATTTAATGAAAGAAACTGTCTGTTTGTAGCGACATTGGTGATTTGGTTCGCAAACAAACCCTGCCTGGCTTTTCAAAACCGAATAATTAATTACTACTGCCCACACAGAATTGAAGGAAAAGTAACTTTCATAAAAGCGTTCCCTTTACAATTCAGTTGTTATACCGGGTCGTTCATCAGTTGCTTACACGATGTAGGTGTTATTTTTTCCTATTACCGTTTAATCTTTCAACTGACGTTAATAATAGAACTCGTTCTTAGCTTACGGGTATATGCAAATTTTATACGATATTTGAAAAAGTGAAATTAGCCTATCAAGTTTCATAGTTATTTTAGTGAATTTTCCCTATGACTACTCTGGAATTGGAAGCTAGTAAAAGCCTAGCTAATTACTAATTCGGTCCATCGAGTTTGATTTTGAGTGGTAGCGAAACTCATTTTTGCGAGAGTTTAGAGTTTTCGTTGTTGAAATGTTTTCTTGGCGAACTATTTGTTGACAAAATTTAATCTCACAAAAACTGGTTTCTTAGACATTTTTTTTTTTTTATATGATTTAATCTGACAAAATATTTCCTTTCCATCCGCCTAAGGCTAGACATCTTAAACTGATTTATTCAATTACGAAACCTTACTCAGGTGAATTATTCAAACTAGTATACCAAAGTAGTATAGTTTACCTTTTGAAATGATATTTTAACGTCGTTAACACCTTAGCTAATAATAAAACCATCTACTGTCTCTAGAAAGTTCGTGCATCAGTCTTCATAGTCGCCATCTTGGATTTGAACGCCAGTGAATACCCCAGGGGACGAGGGGCATTTCTAGGAACCGTTCTCGGGGAGGGGGTGGGGATAGGAGAAAGGGTGTTCGTTGTTTTTGAAACCTAGCTTCTCTTTGTATTTTGCTAAGGTTCAGCCGGAGCAGTGTTACAAAATAAAATGTCATAGAGTGACATTTATAAGTGGAAAATCCAACTTTCTGTTGAAATCCCGCGCAATATAGAATACCGCCGTTTTATACAGTTCTTTACAGCGGAACAAATAACGAGTTCTTCGGGTACAAGTAATGATAATCGGTATTTTTGTTATGGAAGATACATAAGAAGCTTATAGTGTAAATTTTAACGTCGCGTGAGATAGAAGGGAACAACATGCATTTTTATTCCTTCTTTTCTCATCCCTGTAAAAAAAATCTGTAATTTTCACTGTTTGCTAATTCTGATCTGAGTGATAGCGTCACATGATCAATTGTAAAGGACCAAAAAGCAGACTGTCGCGTAGTGACATTTTCTCGAATATTCAACGATTTCATTTCCTTACAAAAAAGCTTTTTTCGTATGAAACTTAACCTTCCTAATCACATCAACAAGTGAACAGAAAATGCGAGCAAAACACGTCTGCTAATAACAATTTTTATCGAGCGCAGCTCCGCGGAAGTACAATTTATTAATTTAGCCATAAGGCGTTATCATAGAAATGCGAAGCAGACTCACTTGCGACCTCTAGGGCCTTGGAACAGTCAAAGTTTAAAATCTTCTAATATAAATAATACAATTTTGTGATAAGTTGTCCATGATTATTTACAAGGATGTATGAATTATGCATTGTTGTTCCTCATCATGATTGATGAGTAGATCCAACACGGCTAGTTGAAAACTGTTCATGTTCATTATCTTGCTGCCTGCAGGGACCGTTCTATACAATCATGTGAAAATCTCTTTCCCACGTAGATGGTAAAAGCCCGAAATATCAACAAGGTTTACATGATGTCTACATATCAGACTTGTTGAGTGAATTACATTCATAATAAATAACTGCGGCATCCTAAATTGCAAAAGCCTCTCTTTTCTTGTGCTATAGTGAACTGTTATCGTTGACGGGGATCAAAAAATTCCGAATTAATTAAGGTGTCAATGTGTCTTTTTACGAAGCTAGTGTAGAATCGAGGAGATGTATTCGCTTTCGTTGAATAGATTAAAATTGGAAATGGCGAGTTGCTAGGAGACCACTCAGTATTCTAAGCCACTGACTGATTTCCTAAGCTAAGAACCCAGAATCCAGGCGTGTAAAGTTGATTCAATCTTTTAATCATTGTGATCTTTTTTTCGTCGTATTCACTGGTTTAGAGTTTGTACATTCATGTTTGGTGCTTTGCTAAAAATACATTATTATACACCATGTTACTATTCTTTTCTAACAGGAACACAAAATTATCAAAGCACGTCTCTCTAACTACGTTTGCGTCTGTTATTAACAAAAATGTTCAAAACAAGTTCGAATAATGAATTAATTATTGACCACGGATATCAGGCAAATATCGTGAATTGCCAATGTCTCACCTATCAATTATTTACCTCCACCTACGTCATCGAGGGAATAATATTAGTTTGCCATTGACGAATCACAACATTTGTTGGATAATTGCTTGTTATTGTTGAATACACACTTCATTCGTTATAGACAGTGTCTAGCAGAAAACATAACTGTTTGAGATTTGAAAACTTAATTCTATATTTCCACCGACTATTTAATAAAACTTGATTTAACGTCATCATATTCTAATTTTTCCAATAGCAGTAAAGCAATTTAATTGGCTCATGGCTTTAAGCAAATTGACAGAAACATGAGTTAAATAAATATTAGTTTGCTTGGATTGATCCTTGTTCTCAGGTTCTTACATAAAAATTGTTGCGATTTTTCACGGAAGTTATTCTTCATTGAAATGCTCTCTGATAATGCTGGACTTTTCTGGTGTGTATCTCAGCGCCTTAGTACATTAACAGTTAGGAATCAGTACGCTGATGCTCGAGGCAAAAAGAAAACCCAGCGTTTTTTTTTCTTGTTACCCTGTGTACTACATGAATGATAATGCGATAATCTCTCAAGAAGGTGTTTCCACTGATTAAAGTTATTTTAAAAACCCTTAATTGTTGCTCTCTGCCTTTTACGAAAGGCAGAAGGCTTACGGGTAGTGATGTTACATTTCCTACGGGAAATTTTGACCGATAGTTCGTTTTGAAGAAGTGAATGTTGTTTTTTCAACAAATCCTCGATACTATTTGCTGTGTTTAAGCAGTCGTTTCGCGGCTTGTCGAAAATCCGCCCTATAAAATGAGTATATCAATGGATTTACGCACGACTGCAGAAGGAGGAAAAACATCGATAGCTTCACCAAGAGTGGGGTGACTAGATCCGCTCGACCAAACACGAAGGCAAAGTTGTAAACGGAACGAGGAATCCATGACAACACAAACACCAGGACAACCGCAACGCAAGCGATGGTTCCCCTCCTTTTCCTTGATGTTTCGGCGCGCGTTTCCTCGCCAGAGATTTCTTGATTTACAGAGCTGAGTTCCCTCAAGGGTAACGTCTTTCTTTTCTGTGTTTGAATGGCACGAACGATCAGTGCGTTGACAAGAGCCATGATCATTGCCGGCAACATGACAAGAAGGAAGACTAAAATAACGTTATAAACTTTGTTGATAGCCTTGGCATCTTCCTCTGGCATCGTAAGCCACCAGATGTTCCTCGCAGAGGCGATCAGGGCAGGTAAAATCCAGATGGCAAGAACCATGCAAGTCACTTTGTTCCTCGTCATTCTACAGCCGTACTGCAGAGGACACAGAACGGCCAAGTACCTGTCGTACGTGATGGCCAACAAACTGAAAAACGACGAACTGAAGACCAAGTCTTTAGTCTGCGCTAGAATCCAGCACGTGTCGGTAGAGAGGTACTTGCATCCCGCGCAAAATGACGTGTAACCCGGTACAACCATGACGGCCATTAGGATGTCACTCACGGCCAAACTGACAAGAAACGTGTTCATGTACTGTTGTCGAAGCTGCTTAGTGGAGAGAAAGATCGCACAGGTGAACGCATTTCCTGTCAAGATGATCAATGCTAGGACTCCGTTTACAAACCAGAAGATTTGTTGTAATGTCTCGTCACAATTTGTCGTTTCGGTGCGCGTCGAGATGTTAGAATCCATGGAAGTGTTGTTCGATGTGAAATTCTCCATAGGTTTCTCTTGTTGAAGGTGAATTTGACTTGCCAATGATCTAGTGGAATAAGATAATAACAGCAAACGTGGTTTAGGCTTCGCTTATATTTTACGTGTGCAATTACCAGGTGTATCAGTGGGATTTGACGTTAATGGATTTTGTCATTAGCCAATGCCTGGCAATATACATACGGATGTGGATAACTTCTCTGTATTCAGATTCCTAATGAGATATCAACATCACTCGAGGGGAACTAGCAATCATTTGCTATTATCTCACCTACTTGGCACCATAATAAACCATGTTATTTTCCTTATCTTTGTACCACGTTAGACAAGAAAGCATTGTTCATTCCCCTCTTGCTATTGTCCAAAACTGAATGTTTAATCGTGGTTGTTAGGAAATACAAAAGAGTTGCTTCCATCCGTGGGAAGCTGTTTGTCTTTAAGGCACGCGATGAAAAGCGGTTTTAAAATTCTTAAAGGAAAGTCTCCTAAGACATAGCAATTTTTAGAGTTCCTGCTTTTCTTTTGTTAACCCGAAGAAACCGCAGAAAGCGACTCAATGAAAAGCTAAGTCAACTAAGATTTCGTTTTGTTGTATTTAATTTTAGTTTTTAGAGACGTCATGTCGAGGTGATTTACCTGTTTTCGGTCACCAGATTTTGACTCAGCGATTCAATAATTGAAATTTTATTTTTGGACTTATATTTAAACGAAGGGAAACGTGTTTTGTTAACGCAGGTAAAACCAAAAGAATAGTTTAAAACTGATTTATAGACAGGAAGATTGGCAAGCATTGTTGTGTTGTAACAAATGACGATATTAAAAAAAAAAAAAAGATTTTCGTACATTTACTCTCCATTTTCCTACAATAAAATATCGAAATTAATTGCTTATCTCTCCTGAGCGTCAAATCTATGTACTAGACTTCCCGTAATGAGACATATTCATGTCGACATTAAACCAAATCGCTAAATGAGAAACAATATATCATGAAAAACAAAAGCAAGTGGATAATTTCCTCGCTAAGTTGCCCCTTGATGTTGAGAATGGTGAAATATGGTCAATTCTTTGACTTTTCTCGGTGGTAAATGCATCAGCGATATTTTGCAAAACTGCTCAATACGCAAGTTACCTCAGTTATTCTAGAAAACGCCACCTAAGTCAGGTATAAAATTGCCATTTAGTTTCGGCTTGTCTATTTACAACAGATACCTGCTTGAGGCTGATATTTATTTATCTATGTTAGTTGATAACAAATTCAGTGGGCGACACCGATTTACACGTTTCTAGAACATCGTGTTTCTCTTAAATATTAGTCAACATTGTGCGACAAAATTAAACTTCTGCTATGATGCCCAGTGCAAGGGAGATTTTTTCTTCTCGATTATTTTAGACCCAGAAACAAAGATCGTAATGACAGGTTGAAAAGTCACAATTGTGTGATGTCAGTGAACATCTCCTTCCGCCAGATCGGAACAAGTATTTACTCACAGGCAAAAAGGCTAATTTCTGAATTCATGAATACACAGATCTTTTAAGTTCTCTACTGTTAAATTTAGGAATATGTTTGTCTACATAGGAAACCTCAGCTTTGCTTTTCGTTTGCCATTTTCGAATTCACGGTTACTGACTAAACTGGTTTGCAATCGATGCAATATCAAGGACAGAACAAAATCGGAACTGTTTTTTGTATATTGTTCGGTTGCTTAGGAATAAACCAGGTCTGAGTGGAAAAGATCTGTTAAAACGTCCTTTTTCCTAACGATAACTTGACAAGGCGCAATTGCTAAAGCCGGAATGATGAACAAGACCAATTTAATAGATTGTCGTCAGGAAAACGTAGCAAACAGGATGTCACTAATTGGACATGATGTCGGTAACGCTTTGATTGAATCAATCGAGGTGGCGTAACTTGGAAACCGAATTTATTGCGTGGGCTGCAGTGTTGTAAATTTGTTTCGGTCACTGATTTGAGTTGTCTCTGAAGTCTGTCACAACCTGACATAAAGTACAAAAGATAGAATTCCTACGAGAAACCAGGCGCCGGTTCAATAACTCTTAGATTCCAATTCAGATTTGGCGATAAGGGAGTTTGGTACAAACGTGTGAGCAATTATTATGCAATCTTAATATTGAAATAAAGTAACGAATCAAGGATTTCAGTCTTTCGAAATAAACAGAGTTATTTTCGTGTTGATTCTACCCGTCAAAACTGGAACTACGAATTCAGTATTATTTAAAGACAATTGCTTGTGTTTCATTAAATAAAATTCTGTCTGTTGTAGAAGTAGGATGACGTAATTCAGTCGCTTTTTGTATAAAAGTCAACATTGCATCCGTGAAAATATAGAAACATAAGCGACAGAAGACGAATAGGAAACTCTACTTCGGTGTAGAAATGAAAAGCTTTACATGTATTACATTTATTAATGTTGGTTTCTATGGTAACAGGAATAATGAACTTGAGTTTTTTTCCGAGGTTTTAACCGTAAATTCCCGGGAAATATTATTGTCCTTTAGACTGTTTCATAGCATAATCATTTCACTTATTTTCCTTTTTGATGGATCTTAAGGCAAATGGAACCCTGATTTTGGTAACCTCGAGGTCAACGTGCTGAAAGCTTTTAAGGTTACAGTGCTTTTAAGCACGACTGAAATGCGATCTTATGACTGTTTTAACTCAGACGGTAATTTCTGCTATAACGAGGTCTTGACAGAAGCACGTATGCCTTATTTTATTGCTATATATTGTTGCTGTTTCTATTTCTGGGCTCATAATAACTTTACTTTGCCATACAGCTGAATAAGGCTATTAGTAGTTAGGTCCAATGAAAAGTTGGAGGTAAAAGCTGGTGCATCACTGTCACGTGATCCAGTCGACCTCGAATGAAGTGATTGATGTTTTCAGCAATATAGTGGCATGTTTGAGCAATACTATGACGTAAACACATCCGAAACGTCCTGCAAACGGCCAATCATGGCTTACGTTTGGCAAATATTACGTTAGGCTGTGATTTTTATTACTTAAACATTTTCTGAACAAATACTTCCAAAATAACCGGTTTGTTCAACCTGCAAAAGGCGAAACGATAGTTATTCAGTATCGAGTGAAAACCTACCACCGTCAATATCTTCAGCCGATAAGTTTAATAAGATATTTAAAATGGAAGATATGCGGTCCAATGCCACCAAATTGGCAAACCTCGTTGACTTTGACGACGCTGAGAATGAAAACACGAAGACAGATGGTTTTTGTATCAGAACAATTGAACTCGCTTTCTGTGTCTTGTATTCTTTAATAGGGATCACAATTTTCATCGGAAATGGCTTCACCTGTGTAGTTTTCCTGACATCGAAACGTCTTCGAAAGAGCTTCATGAATGTGTTTCTTGTGAGCCTTGCGTTTTGGGACGTGCTAATGGCAATCTTTGTTGTTCCATTTTACGCTGTATTCTGTAGCCGAGGTTGCGAGTATTCCCTCACTCAGCATTGTTGGCTGTTTAGAAAAGCAAAAGATTGTGTCCTTATTGCAACGACTTTTAACATCTGTGCTATCACATACGATCGATATTTAGCAGTGGTTCGACCGCTTCATTATGGCGCGAAAATGACCAAGCGGCGGGTAACCGCTATTTTGGCGGGAGTTTGGACGCTGCCCGCTGTGGTAGCAGGAATCAGAAACGTGTGGAACCACACAAAGAAAAGCGACGAACTGCGTTATGCTAACAAGCTATACGACACTGTTATCATTGTGGTTTTCGTCATCTTTGCGATTTTGGGGCTTTTAGCTGTTAACGTAACGGTTATGAGAGCTATTAAAAAGCACAACGAAAGAGAACTCACCGAACAAAGTAGAAGAACGGCTTGGAGGACCAAGATGGAGAAAACGAAGCGAAGAAAGGGCACAAGGGCTTGTATCTTAGTAGTGTTTGTGTTTATGATCTGCTGGCTTCCGAGAATTGTGTACAACCTGAGTTATATCATCAGACCTCCAGGATTAGCGAGCCCTTTGTTTTTCAGGCTTGCTTTCTTTTGTCTCTTTTTGCAGTCTTCTGCAAATCCTTTCATTTATTCGTTCTACAGGTCTGAATTTAGGAGAGCCGCCTTGAGGCTTGTAAGACGGCGCAAAAGATCTGCAAGTAGAGTTTACCCTTTAGCGGAGTCAAAACAGCTTAGTAAATCAAAAGAAACACACGATCTCGCTCAATCAATCGAGTTATAACAAAAATGTGACGTTGAATTCACTGATCATAGAGAAGATTTATAAGCATGCACTGTGCTTAGAGAGTTCTTTTTCCAGAAAAACTAATATTAATGTAGATTTGCAATGTAAATCAAAGCTAGAGTTTAAGTTACATAAGATCTTGTGTTATGAATTAAATGTGACAAGTATTTGTTGAACTTGAAGGAAAATAAAGAAGACCGCAGCCAGAATGACTCATGGCAAAATGTAAAAGCGTTCTCCGGCTAAATTATTTAAAAAACATAAGCTTTTCACTGTCTCCAACGCGGGCAATAACTCTTGTCCACTCCCATGACAATATAGCATTCTTTTGAACAAAATTTTTTTAGCTTAATTCCATAACTTTATTCCGTTGTATTCTATCGTATTTTATTCCGTTGTATTTTATCACACTTTTTAATGCAGATAGGACCCTGCGCGCGCCCTGATTGGTCAAAAAAACCATGTTTTATCAGAGTATAAAACATAGAAAAAGCGTCTTTTATTGTTTTTCGCCACATTACCTCTATATCAGAAAGCAAATGAAGAAGCCTACGCCGTGTATTACACTCTGATATCACACTCCGGACATTTGAAAACACTAGAGAAATGTAGAAAACACTCGCCTGCGGCTCGTGTTTTCTACATTTCCCTCGTGTTCTCAAATGCCCGTCGTGTTTTATCACAGTGTAAAACACGGCTTAGGCTTCTTTATTTGATAAATATTTTAGAATTTTAGCGAATTTTTATCATTTCGCCCGTTGAAGACTGTAGTTGAGATAGTCCAAAGCTTGTGCTTTTTATATATTCTTAGCTGGAGAACGTTTTTAGACTTTACCATTTGTTGAAATATTGACGGCAATTACAAAGTAGCTTGTGATGTCGTTTTAACTTCTAACCAGGTTTCAAACGCGACCGAGAGCGCCTCCAGGTTTAATCTATTTGCTGGATGGGAGGTTAACAGTCAACCATTAAAATTTCTTTAAATGGCACTGCCAATGCTTTTGGCTGTTTTTTGTCTCATTTAATATTTTTAAAGTAATGTGTTCCTTAGCCGAGTTTCCTTGTGAACAGAAAAAGCCAAACATAACTCTGTGATGTACCAGAGAAACGAATGTAGATTTGTAATGTGAACTTATGAGTAAACTGTTTGTCACAGAGTGTACATTGCAAAATTTGGCAAATATTTGTCGAAATCATGGCAGCACATGAATGTATGTACATATATTTGCTTTAAAATAAGAAAAAGATTTTCAATAAATAGATAGTGTTGTCATTTAAACTTTTTGGCAAATGAAAGCCTTTCCTAATAGTGGATTTTTAATGGAGCTAAGCGTCAACTAGGAGACAGGGCTAAAATAGGTTTATTTTAATGGAAAGATGAAATTTTGAAAAAAAAAAAAAAAACAGCTGCAAAAAATATACCTTTTCTTGGTACTGTGCATGCGGCTCTCTTCGTCTGTTTTCTTTCGGAATCAGCTTCAAATTTTTTCAAGCGGTCTATCTCACCTTAAACAAATTCCTATGTGAAGCGGAATAAACCAAATGACTGCCTTCGGTGTTTTAAAGCCAATCTTTCTCTGACATGTTGACACTGACGCGTGGGTTGTTAACTGCACTGGTTTATTTTTCCGCTGCCCTCGTGCCGGTGCAGATGTATTGAATCGCGCGATATTATTGGTTAGCCGTGCGCTCCACTTTGTTTATATCCAGACCACGGGCACTTGCTGGCCATTTTGAACTATCCTTTTCTTTCCTCCAACTAAACTAACGAGATCAATGCCGGCCTACGACCTATCCTGAAACAATTACAACTGTTTTATCCAGACCGCATGACCAGTATTTAAGGGCTTTTGCTTGTTTTGGTTGACATTTATTCAGCCGAGAAATTGATATCAGTTTAGAGTTTTCCGGGGCGGAACGTATGAAAAAGCAATTGATGAAATCAAGTTGTGCGAGATGGTAAAAATGTATTAGTTAAGTTGTATCGAAGATTACTGCACACCATTTTCTCACATTTTCACTGTTGAATTCACGGCGTTATGTAACCTCACACACTGTGGTGATCTTCTTGCTGTGTTTTGTTGAAATTGAACCAAGTTTCTTGTCAGTTTCATCTGTGTTAACAACTGATTATGGAGATGACTTCCTCACTTTACTTCGCGGGGTATTAAATCAAAGAAAGATATCTGCCAAAATATAAATTTAAAAGAATAATACTTATTCTTTTTGAACTGCAAAACGTTGTAAGACAGGTTCTTGTTTTCTCGAGGTCGTTCTTATGAGCCCTGTGTGTGAAATAGCTCCAACAGGCTGAATTAGTTACAATCAGCGTTGAACTTTACGTCTTGCGAAAAAGAAAGACCAGTTTTTTCAAGGGCAGTTTAGTTGCTTTTATTGTTGCTTTTAAATTAAACTTGTGTAACAATAACTCTCTTATAAAATATGTCCTATAACTTGTTTTAAAGCTGATGAAATTAATACACACTGATTGCTTATGTGTATGCTTCAGTTAAGCGAAGCTCACTGTTTCGTTGTTTATCCCCATAAACTGTTTTAAGGAAACAATAAATGTACTATTTTTATGATTCTTATGACTCACTTATTTTTACTTTTTTTGTTACATAATAGCAAAGGGCCTTGATCACGTACAAGGCTTTTATTTTTTGTTTATTGTTGCGCGGTCATTTTATATGAAGTCAGATAAACGCTTGGCTTGGAGTGACTTTTACCCGATCCGTCTCCGAAACAGGTCGGTCCTGCGAACCCTGCCTCACCTTGCACCTGCGGCGCGGTGTCTGAAAGAAAGGACACAGTTCGAAAAGCTGACAGCACCGACTCCGCTCTTTTAACTACACATTGGCATCGTAATAAACGAAACGCCGCCCGTCTGAACTCTGCTCTGTAGAACCAATAAATCAAGGGATTAAGGGAAGATTGAATGAATAAAGACAGGAAGCAAATTCTGAAAAACAATGGACTTGCCAACCCTGGGGGATTAACGATGTAACTGAAGTTATAAACGGCGCGTGGAAGCCAACAAAAGACAAAAACAAGAACGACTATTACGCACGCAAACGTCCCTTTGCGCATTTGACGCGACAACTGGAAGTCTCTTTTCTCACGGTCAGCTTGCTTTCTTATCGCTCTCATAATTTTCACGTTTGTTATCAACATGAGAACGACCAGCAAAACGACAAAACCAAGTACAATGATACTGTCGTAGAGTTTGTTAGCAAAGCGACTGTCCGATCCATTATGTTGCCAAAAGTTCCGAATACTCGCCAATATCATCGGCAAACACCAAACCCCAGCAAGCATGGAGGTTACTCTTTTCGGAGTGATTGTGGAGCCGTACTGAAGCGGCCGTAAAACCGCGTTGTAGCGGTCGTAGGTGATAGCGTAGAGATTTAAGGTTGTACCTATTTTAACGCAGTCCTTTGCTCCTCTCATCAGCCAGCAGTAACTACGGAGAGAGTACTCACACCCGCGGCCGCAGTACACGGCATAAAATGGAACAACGAGCACGGACATAAGTATGTCCCACGTGGCGAGGCTGACCAGGAATACGTTCATCTTGCTTCGGCGAAGTTTCTCGGTGGTCAGGAACACAACACAGGCGAAAAGATTACCTGTGAAGATGAGAACCCCAATAACGCCGAATGAAATGAAAAACAAGATTTCTGTTGACGTACTGCAGGTGTAGTTTCCCATCTGTATTGTGCTGTGTCGCCGCTTTTTCTGTATAAGTTTCATGAAGTCAAAAATGTCGTAAACACGCAAGCTGCTTGTTCTTATTCGCCGTAAAAAGGCGAAGAAACTACTGCAGATAGTCACGCAAAATACTTCAAGGTTTTCAACTGCCTTCTTGCTTTTTAATTCTGCCAAAACCCAAACGTAATTGTCCGAAGGTTTTGAATTAATCAGGTGCATGTATATCGAACACTTGTGAAATGTTCCTGTTCTTGGACAAAGCCATTTTGACGTTAGTACTTGTGACAAGTTTTTATGTTGTCACCAGCCTTCGCAAATACTGAACGCATGCATTGTATTCATCAATGACAACTAACCGAATGGATCAGGCGTATATCTTGAAATTATGCAGAAATGAAAGTAACTTAGATTTGTTCGCACAATTAATCTCGCTTTTTCCACCAATTTTTATGAAGTTACGTCAATCGCTTGTTTAACTTTATAAGTTATCAACGGAAGGCATCGAAAACCAACATTAACAAATGGAAAATAGTTACAGGTCTTTGCTATCTTTCATTCTCTTTGTATATTGGTTTACCTGTGCACACAGTGTTATCAATTTACTTTTCTGTACAGGTTTGAATAATTTATGTAATTTAACTCCTTTTCACGTCGTTGGAGAGTTGCTTGTGTCCTGTAAAAGCTTGGCGGTCGTGGAGTGCTCTCAAAAAGAGACAGGTGTTGTTATGAACTTCTGTCTTGACAACCCAATTCATTCCAAAGGCACAATTCCGCTGTCGCCTAATTTTACATGAATAAGTTTACGTTTATTAATTAAAGACATAGGGAATTTGAAGGACGGACTGCCTGCGTCAGCGAAGAAATAAATTAAGCTAAGCAATTTCACATTCGTCTATTGAAGAACATTTAATATATTCTTGTAGTGTTGTGCGGCAAACGCTCAACTGCGCTGCGCACGCACAGTGATTAGGAAAGTAGCTCAGTGTTAGAATACATTTGTTAACCCAAACCGTAAACTCCTTTAGGTTTCTTTGTACACATTAAGATCTAAAACTTATTATCATTATTATATTAAAGAATGACCTTAAAATACGAAAAACCCATCCATTTTCAGTTGCGGAATTTTTTAAAACTGCGCTAAGGTTCAATTATTTATACGTTCCGTGACAAGGTGCGGAACTTTTAAACATGTCAACTGCTGAAGAAAAAATTCAAGAAAAATGTGTTTCTCTTCACTGAGTCTTTGTTAAAAACGTTATCAACTTACATTTATTTACTTTTTTAAGGTCTGCAAAATTCGAAAATCTATTCTACACAGCCGGCTGTATTCAATTCTGTTCGTTCATCTTTTCTTTTAAAATTTCTCCATGAACGTCTGCTGCGTATCTCGTTGGAGTTTTATAAAATCAGAGGTTGCTGTGTTCAAGTTCGGACCCTCCATGCTTAGTACAGCTCTTCTGACTTTCAAAGTTTAAGGATCAGTAAATATTTTGTGGGCTCATTAATTTTAACCGTTAACATCGTCACGCAAAGAAAACTATTCAGTAATAACGCAGGATAATTTTTGTTCGATCTCCATTTTACTTGGTTTTAATTGTGAGAAGATAAGTTAGAGATTGTAAAAGTTTAGGCAATAAATATTAACGTTTAGCTGAGTATTTCTCGGAAGGAGCATGTTTTATTTTTCAAGCGAAACACACTGAAAAGATTAAAGTATTCCTCGTTACATAGCCTTGCAAATTCAAAACCTCTTACACTCTACAAAACCTTAACCTCACCTGAATGTGCCTTGAATCTTGTTCCAAAAAATATCAGAACCTTCATTCTTAGGAAACACTTCCTTGTCTTTCAATTTGCAAGATGCTTTTAAAACCCGTAATTTACCCACTAAGGTCCAGTTGTTTTTTTTGTGGTTAACCAATCAAATGGTGCCACGAGCCATACTCACTATCCAATATTGCGGGGGGATAATTCATTACCCGTTTAAGGCTAGACATTTTTAAGGCTATTTCACAGCTACTTAAGTTGTGAATTAAACTGCGATGGTCTTTCTTTTAATAAAATATCTATTCCGCAGTTCAAATATATGAATTTCATATATTCTGTTTTAAATGCTGATGATGTTTGCGCAAGACCATTAAATTTTAATTGAGAAATATACATGAAGTAAACACTGGTGATCTTGTTGCTGGCACTCGTTTTAAATTTCTTTCCGTTGGCTTTCATGTACAGTAAACATTTTGATTTTAAGTTGAGTTAAGTGCGTATTGCAGGGCAGTTTGCCACATTTTTGCGGAACTCTGTTGTGTGTTTTAAACCTTCTGGCGCCAGTTGGGGAGAAAGCCCTAAGGCGTGTAATGGTTATAATATTTTGTCTCTCCCAGGAGACCAATCTGGCATGGCTTAATCGATTTAGCGTCTAAAAAGTTTATTAATTTTTTATTAACACAAAGAAAGGCAGCTACTTTATTGGAGGCAGGACGCTTTTTTGTGTTGAGGCGCTAATTTTTATTGGATTAAAGTTTACTCTAAACCAAAGAAACACTTCGTGTTTCTCTCAAAACAAACCCATTCTTTGTATAGATAGGATATATGGCCACCAATACGGAAGATGTGGAAGAACAGAATAGAGAAGCCAATATTGAAAGAGGGAATGCTTTCAAGTTCAGAGGGGGAGTTTAATTGCAGAGTTTATGAAAAAATTATTGATTCGAATCTTACTCTGATATTCGTCAATGTTTTCTAATCATTGTGGAGCCACTGAAGTTAGTGTATTTTTCTTAAATATTCTTATTAACAATTTTGTTAAGCCCAAATAGTATAAAACCTGGGTGAATACCTTTGTTTAATTGAGTGTTTAGTGGAAAGATTGCCAATTCCAATCTTACCATAATACTGGTCGATGTTTTTTAATCATTGCGGAACTGTTAAAGTTACTGAAATTTCCTCAATATTTTCACTGCCAACTTTGTTAATTGAGAGTTTTAAAATGGAAATATTGTTAACTCGAATCTTGCCGTAATATTGGTCGATGTTTTTTAATCATTGTGGAGGCAATAGAGTTACAGCAATTTTCTCAAATATTCTAATAATGACTTTGTTAAGACCTGGGCGAATACCTTTTAATTATTTAATTGAAACCCCGTCCACACTACACCGGAGAAATCTGAAAACTCATCTTTTATTTCCACTGTTAGGCCTACCGTCCACACTAATCCGAAAACGTAACGGAACTTTTCGAAAACGCTCTTCGAACCGGAAGAATTTGAAAACGCTAGCTTTGCGTTTTAGTGTGGGCGGAACACGGTTTGAAAACGCAGCTTTTTGAAAACGATGATGTCACGGCAAGCATGTGATTTCCTTGCCAGAGGTTTCCTCAAACACAAATCCAAAATGACCGCTGATTGTTGCGTTTTCAAATTTCTCCGGCGTAGTGTGGACGGAAAACATTTGATGCTTTTTCAGAGTAAACACCCCGTTTTCCAATTTCCCCGGCGTAGTGCGAACGGAGCCTGAGAGTTTTTAAACTCTCAGATTGTTAATTCAAATCTTGCCATAATATTGCTTGATGTTTTTTAGTCATGGTGGAGCCACTAAAGTTACCAAATCTTCTTAAATATTCTTATTATCAACTTTGTTAAGTGCGAAAAGAATAAACCTGGGTGAATACTTAGTATGTTGAACTACTCTTCAAACTCGTTGTTTTTGCCAGTAAACATGAACGAAAATAAGAAAAAAAAAAAAAGAAGAAGAAGAAGCCAGGGAAGACCTCAGTTACGTAACTGACTGTCAGGTTGTGTGTATGTACAAAATGTTCACATTAAGAGGAGTGTTTTCCGAACTTTTAACTGAGTCGAAATCCGATAGAAAATCGAGCAATTGGTGGGCAAAAATCTGGTACCAGAATAATTTTAAGTATTGTACAGTCCTTTTTACATTTTCTTAAAGCTAAAGATATAAATAGTTGCCTGAAATAACACCGGAAACAATTTCCCATGGGAACGAGAGAAAATAAATTTCAAAGTTCAGAGAAATTGTGCAATTACAGGTAAAATTTCACCATTACTTTTAAGTGTTTCATACGAAGTTAAACATTTGTTTTCGACGTTTCGTGTTGCTAGAAATGATTTTTTTTAGAAGATATTTAAAACAGTCGCACAGAAGTTTGCAATACGATGTAAATAATCTTGATACAAAGTTTTTGTCCACTTGTTATTCGAACTTCTGGTGGATTCCGTATTAAACTTTTGAGTTAAAAGTTACGTATAGCTGACTGTTTCTGTATGCATGCCCAAAATTTTCACTGTGGGCTGTCATCCGGACTTTTAACAAACCCGTGACATTTTCCGACAGTCTTTTATTTTACTTGAAGATCTTTGACAGTTGGATAGTTGCTGCTGACACCAGCGGAAGACTTCAGCTTTTTTATTTTTAAAAATTCTAACTTTCTTTCCGGCTCTAACTGGAATTCTCTATAAAATGGATCCCGTTCTAGACTTCGTCTTGTTTTGGCGAGGTAGGTAGGGAAACATTTCTTCACATCTGCAGTTGAGAATTAAGTCGAATAATATCGCTTTCGAATCCGGCTGTTTTTAATGTCGGTGAATTCGGAATGATTAGTGAATCTTGGAAACTTTTTCTCAAGAGTACACGTAGTCTCTCTGCAGGTGTCAGTTATTGTTAATTAAGCATTGAGATCGTTAAGCGATGTAGTGGTAACTCTTCTTGATCTTGTAGATTCACGCCGAAATATCAAGGCAAGACCGGCTTGCCTAAAATCCGATCTGTAAAACGAATAAATAAACGGATTGGCCGACGATTGCACAAACAGACACAACCAGGCAATCTTCACTAAAACGTCACCGACTAAATCAGCCCTGCCAAACACGAAACTAAAATTCACGAAAGCCAATGGCAGCCAGCTAAAGAGAAAAACAAAAACTACTAAAACACAAGAGATGGTTCCTTTCTTGGCTTTAGTTATTTCTAGCCGTGCCTCTCTTTCCACCGTTGTTATTCCTCTCACACTGTTTCTCTCTTGGCCCACGCGTCGATCTTGTCGCCGTATCGCCTGAATGATCCTCACGTTTACCCCAAGGATGACAAGGATGGGTAGTAAGGCGAAGGTGAAGATCAATATGCTGTTGTAAATCTTGTCTATTTTATGCGCCTCTTCTGCGGGCTTCGTGTGAAGCCAGGCGTTACGTATGAGCGCGATGATGGAACTCAGGCCCCAGACCCCTATCAAAATGCAGCTGACGCTTCTCTTAGTCATGTAGATTTGGTAGCGTAAGGGCCGCAGCACCGCGAGAAATCTGTCATACGATATCGCAGCTAAATTTAATACTGTTCCTGCGAAGGCAATGTCTTTCAGACCAGCCATCAACCAGCAGTACTTGGACACGGCATAGCTGCAGCTGCCGTTACAGAAAGCAGCGTACCCAGGAACAACGAGTACTGCCATCATTATATCAGCCACTGCCAAGCTAACTAAGAAAATGTTCATGTAGCTTCGTCGAAGCCGTTTCGTTGTGACAAAGACAAGGAACGTAAAGAGATTCCCTGTCAATATTACAACGCCAGCGCTGCCATAAAGAATCCAGAAAACCATTTCCAAAGTTTCGTTGCAAAGAGGAATGGTTTGACTTGGTTCAACAGTTTTAGAATCCTCCATTTTGATCAGAGGAGAAATTATCTGCTCCGCTTGGCTAGGAGAGGCGACTGTGCGTGCTCTTTCAATTTGACTGGGTAAATAATGGTGTCAGTCGCATTACACGTCACACTATCTCGTTTTTTAGCCAATGAAATGCCCTGATCTTTTTGCTTCATTTTGATGTGAGTGTGATTGTCTAATTATCGGAAAGAGCCCGCTTTCACATCTTAACTAGTTCGCAGCCAGATATTTGATAAAATACAATTGAAAACATGGTTTAAATCATGTTCGCAAGATGGACTTTGCCCGAACTGTCAGATATATTTGTTAAAGAAATTGGAAAACAAAAAGATCACGTATGTTTGGTTGTTTTTCCTCGGATAAAGTTTAATCAAAAGTTTCTAATGCTCTTATAAAATCCTATTTTAATTAAACCCTTGACTCATCACGAGAAAGAACCGGAAATCGAAATTTTAACGGCAGCTGGAAAAATGAACGTCTTTACTGAATTTGTCTTTTTTCAACTTCGGGTTAGAAGAAAATTAAAGACGATTCTCTTAGGAGAATCTTCCGTCTTTTCAACGTAGCTTTGCTTAAAAAATAATAAAGTAAAAAGCGCTGAAGCTAAAAGGCTTTTTGTTTTCTTTATTTTTGTATTTTCATTTAGGTATCTCTTGTCGGCTTTTTAGGAAATCCGATATCAGCATTTAGGATTTAATCATTCTTGTTTAAAAGTATTAGATAAAATTTGCAAATTATACAGTAAAATTTTTCAAAATAAATCGTCCAGCTAGCGGTGTTGATTTTAACGTAGAAAATAACTTATCCTTTTGTACAAGCACACACGGTCTGTAACTCAGATCATAAACATGTTTGCCACTTAGAGAGTGTAACTGTACACACAGCTATAGAAAAAACTCGTATTTCTTTTAGCTTCACAAGAGCAATGTGTTGATGAAAAACGGTAACTCTTCACTCACAGCGACAGACACCGTGACGTTCGGAACTTTCGCGAGGGTTTCCTTTCTTTGAAGTTACCGAACGTATAGTTGCGCCCACCTTTTCAGTATACACCATTCCATGCCATTTTCGACCATTTTGCACTCTGTATAACATTGGTCCGTAATTTTAATGCTTGACTTTTTAAACGATGGAAATGATCAAGATTTCCATGGGGACATCGGGTTTTTCCGGTTAAAAAACTTAAATAGACCTGTCGTTATTGCAAAGAAAGCAACGATAAGTGGCTGACGTTTGACACAGACTTACCTACGTCTTTCTCCGCGTAATCAGAGTTCTGCGAGGGAACGAAACTAAAAGACGATAAAAAGCTTTGAGCCCTTGACAACGTTTATTTTATGTTATGTAACCCAGTGTCGATGCTATGCAGATAAACGTGTAAACAGATCGCTCAATTCGAATTCGGAACATTCAAATTTCTTCGTCTTCAGGTTCGTGCTCTCCAAGCCTTGCAATATTTGGTCATGTAATATGTTGCTGTTTTGCAGAGGACGGCGAAGAACCAAGATGGCGCGTCTACACAGCCATTCGTATACTGCTCACAAATGTTGTTTTGCTAGGTATCATTGGCTCATTGCCGTTGTTGCAATGGTTTGATAAAACTCTGGTTGGAGATGGCGGGGCTTATTTCGATTTTCAAACCAGACAGTTACCTTGAAAAAAAAAAACCTGTTTTCCTGTTCATAAAGTTATCTCGCCTTACCATCGTGGGAAATAAAGGGTTTGATAGAAAGGAGAGTTTATTGAAAATTTGAAGTACTTCAGGAGGGACTATCTGGGGCGCACTAGAGAGTCGGGTTTATCAGACAGTGGGCTTAGTATAGCGATTTCTGGATTCGTAACGATATAAAGGAGGACGGGAAGGAGCGTCAGTAGACCGAATTTGAGCTGGAGTAGAAGACAATCATGTAGTTTATGAGAAGGTAGAACACTGAGCCCTCAGCTGCTCGTTAAAGAAACCACAGTAAATGTTCTGTCAGCGGACAGGTTTTGTCAGGTCTACTATTGTAACAGTTTTAGTCAATTGGTCACTTTCCAGTTGCACGAGACACTTTCATTGTGCTCTTTTGGTGTCGTCAGCATTTAGGTCCTTTTTCGATTAGTGTCCTCGTAGAACTCACATCCATAGATAAATTTCGTTTTGAACAAGTTAAATACTTCGAATACGTTCAAATTCGAAAGGTATGACTATTACCCATCGTGTAATTTCAATCAGTTTTAACCGATGTTTTTACTTCAGCAACGCATAGCCTAACATCAAACAGTATACTTGCAGGCATCAGGGCCTCTAAAGGAAGGAAACGTAGGGAATTGAACAACAACGCATGCGTCGTGATAACGGCCGGCTTGATTTTCCAGCCAGCAGGTGTTTATAGCGGTTTTCCCGCCAAATTTGTGGCCAATCGCATTTTGAATTGAAATAGAGCTAATGGCAATGACAGCTGATACGGCTGAAACCAATATTGTCAAGTTGTCAATTGTAATTCAAAACTGGGCACTTAAGGGCTATTGAAACTAAACACTCCACCAATAGCTGAGCTTTACACTATTGGTCTAAGAATTGTAAACAATTAGATGGCACATTGTGCTTTTAAAGAGAGAGCGAATAAAGATGATATTATCAGCTATAATAATAAAGCCGGAAAGAAAGACATAATATAATAAGTTTTTCTGGCAATAAATAGTTTATAGGTAAGGCAAAATGACGGAGCACCATGCAAGCAAACTTTGCCCAACTAAGAATTGATATCTGAGTAATCTTTTCTGTTTTGGAATATTTATAAGGTGCAGGGATGGCGCAGTGGTGAGGGTGCTCGCCTTCTACCAATGTGGCTCGCGTTCGATCTACGGCCCGGTGCCATATGTGGGTTGAGTTTGTTGTTGGTTCTCGCCTTACTCCGAGGGTTTTTCTCCGAAATCTCCGGTTTTCCTCCCTCCACGAAAACCGACATCTCCAAATTCCAATTCGATCAGGAAAGAGGACCAGCGTGAAAACCACCGGCTGATATAGCTTCCTCTCTAAATACAGTGATTTATTATTTTTTTTTATGTACCAGACCTACATATTTTTTTTCTTAAAAAAGGCATTGATCGCGACTCATTTTTTTCCGTATTTAATCAATTTGAATTTATCTAAAATTCTGAGAACAAAACTGATTTTAAAGCTGTCGCCGTCTTCTTTATGGAAAGTTTTCGTTTCTTCGCCCTAAAAACGTGAATAATACATCAAAACCTCGTTCTCTATTTCTAATTTCTACTTTGTGAGGTTTATATCAATCTATTTACAACCACCAAACATGACATCCCTCTTCATTAAACCACTATTTTGTTAGTTTACGGGTTGAAACCATAACGATTGAGATTACATCATCTGAGGAGTTTTTACAACCCAGTAAACGAATGGCAGCCTACCGAAACTCCGCTCGGTAAAACGAGTAAATAAATGGATTCAATGACGATTGAAGGAACAGAAAAAACAGGGACAACTGAATAAGTATTGGACTGACTAAATCCTCGCGGGGAAAGAGAAGAGAAATGTTATGAAAGACACGAGGAAGCCAACATAACACAGATACTAAAACTACAACGACACACGCCAAATTACCTTTGACTTTTCTAACATTGTTTACTGCACGTCTGTGTGGATTGGAGGAATTAGCGCTAGGATTCGTTGAACCTTTTTTCTTAATAACGTGCAGAACTCTAAAATTAATTGCCAACAATAAAAAGAAGGGAATGATGACAAAAATGAACATGAGAATATTTGTGTAAATTTTGTCTATGTGCCATGCTTGCTCTTCAAATTTACTGCATGTGTTGCCAAATATTTCTCGCGTCCGTTACAAAAACTGGTATTCACTAAACTGCTGTCAGGATGTAAGCCACCCTCTTTCTCGTCATGTTAGAGGCATAACGGAGAGAGTTGAAAAAGGCCTCGTGTCGGTCGACAGAGATAGCCAGTAAGTTGAGTATATTGGACCCAAACGTGAAGCCCTTCAGCTCTCTGATCCACCAACAGTACCGAGTCAGTGAATATTTACAACCAGTGCAAAGCCCTTTCGCGGACGATGAAACATCAGTAGCTGTCCTACCATGAGAAACGTTCATTTTTATCTGACTACTTATCTGTATGTCGAATTTATCAAGTACGCCTCCTCGCAGACTGTTTGCTTCTATTTGTTTGCTCTCTGATCGAACGATGACAAGGTGGCTCCTTGGGAATGCGATAAGGAAAGCCTAAAGGGAAGTTTTCAGTACTAGCATCATAATGGCTTTCGATCAAATTACTGCAACCTCCAACTAAGAACCCACTTTAAACGCAAGTTTCATAGCGTCTTAGGTTTCCTGGAATCTTTTATCTTTTTGTCTTTGTACCAAATGGACTCTTTTGTGAGCAAAGTCAACATCCGGCAAATAATCTGACCGATGCACACGGAAAGTGTAGAATTAATTGCGCCAAGTCTGATTTCGTTTTAATATTTGTGATATAGATTTTCTTCAATCTCTACGTTACTTCTTTTAACGTGTGAGAGAATCTTTCGCTGTTCAGCAAGTTGAACTGGCAGATACTTTTCTTTAACTTTGTAAATTTAATAAAGCTCCGTGGCTTTTTTTGGTTGTTGATAAGAATAATTAAAAAGGTCGAGCAACTCACCCACATTTTAAAGGTAAATTGAAAATAAAAGAGAGCAACAAAAAGCAACGGGATTTGATATGTTGTTCTTTTCTTTCTGTAGTGTAATAGCAATGTCAATATTTATATTGCGTTTGCGTCTTTTTAAATTTAACTTTAATCTCGTACAATTGTCATGACTATTTGTTATCAGATGAAAGCTACAGAAGCTAGTGCAAGTAAGTACAGACATTTGGTCTTATCTATTTTTAATCTACATTTTTGATTTTAGTTTTTAGTCCTTTTTCCCCTTAATTATTCAAGCATGCACACAGTTAAAGCTTTTGTGTTGTTCCGCCTCCACCCTTAAGATCCTGCTACTTGTCTTCTATAAGAATACTATGAATACAAAGTGCACTCCTTGAAAGACATAAATGGGTGATCGTCACAAGTAATACAAAAGGTTTTATTTCCTTAAAGTCTTGAGGATTTGCCGAAGTGATTTTAAATCTTAGAAGAACCCTCAAAGAGTCTGTAAATAGCTGATATACCGTGCTTGTGCCAATTACTTTTATGAACATAGCTGAATAACTGACACTTCGAGTTTTCATCTTTTTAAGGGCTGTTCTCCTGTTAATGATGTACTCCCACATACTGCAGCTTTATTTAGCCCATAGCATGTGCTTTTGGTCTTAGCAAGCTCTTGAATTCGAGTAGTTCTAAGTGTTGCTATTTTTGTCTTTTCTTAAACGTGTCCATCAAAGATGCTGAGGCTGTTAGTTTCAGTTGTAATTTTGAGCTCTAGTTTGCATTCTGTTCATTCGGCAAGGAACATTGTTTTTTTTTGTGGAGTTAACGAAAAGCGAAAGTTTGTAAATTAACAAGATTTCTAGCGATGAGGTGATTTATACATAAAAATAATCCATCAGATTTTACTGTTACAATTTGTAGTTTGACGAAAGGTTCTATTGAGATCAGGACTGGTGATCATTTAAATACCAGCCATGTTTTCGTATGATCTAAAGACTACGGAACTTGTTTAGTCGCTGTTTCGTGTCTTTGCGTTTCGAGTGCTTCGGATGATCGATATGTCTTCCTCCATACGGACTTATACGAAAATAAGCTCGTGAAAACAGAGCAAGTTACTAAAACAAAGTATTTGAATTTTTTTTTTTTAACAGATTAGACTTACTGACTCACTGAAATGATTACTGATACTATGTTTTGGTTATTGAAATGGGATGAAATATAACAGAGGTACAAATTAGCTGTAATCTGGATTTTTATTATTATTGTTTTGTAATGAATTTTTAATTTTTTTTAACCGTGAACTGTTGAGTCATGCTGCATACAGTTTGCTCTACATGTGAAAACTTCGGGTTCCGTTGGGGATAGCCTTTTTCTTTCAATGTTTCCCTGTTAATTATTAACTTAGAATTATAATTGTAAATTCTCATTAAATTTTCATTTTTCCCAGTTCATTAAGTTCAAATCCACAGACTTATCATCGGTTAATATCTTCAAAAAACATCTTAAAGAGAGTATTTATTATTTTTACTTAATTAAAACTTGAAAATATTTGGTCTAAAGGGCGATCAAATATACTCAAAACACAGAATCTTTACCATTCCTGCATTTTAGACATCCGCAGAATTATTAATGACAGAAAACACACGCTCCGTACAAATTTAAGGTATTTCGAGTTTTAAAAGTGAGATTTTTGCGCCATACCGGCTACGGACCTGAGATGTAATATGCTTAACTTGAAAGAGTTAGCCAGACTATAGCATCTTATATATATTCTATATCGAGGTTTCACCAAGGTTTGTTTTAAGTTTCTAGCTGACTTAAAATTAATATTTAATATCAAAATACGTTTGCATTTCAAAGCCTTTTGTATATTTTTTTGACATCTCAAGATCTTTAAACTCTTAGAATACCTTCCACTATGCAAACCCGAAAAAAAAAAAAACAGTGCTCAAATAAGTCAAACTGAAAATTAACATTTTGTACCATCATCCTCTGCGAAGAAAGGTCCAAGAGAAAATTCACATGACACTGCCATATTTTCCTTTATTAATCAACGTGTTATGTTATTAGGAATGAAATAATTAATGAAATACGTGAGAAGAACCAGCGAAACGTTAACTAGAAACTGTGCCAGGCTGTTATTACAATGTGTTATTCACTCCGAGCCAGTTGGAATCTGTCCATTTTTAATTTTGCCAACAAGGACTGGGTGTTAGCATTTGAACAGCTTACCTCTGTTTTTAGCAACACGCAATACGAAAGGATAACATTACTAGGTCATTTTTCGCCCGATATCGCCAAAATTAAATTTTTTTTTAATATTTCGGTTTCTTCTGATATTAATTTCAACGACTACAAAACCTCTAACCCGGTATGGCTTTTGGAAATTCGTCCTTGATAAATAATAGATGTCAATTTGAAGGAAACGAGGTGATGATTTAAAACCAAAATCTAAAGAGAATTGTTAGCAGAATTATATTAATTTCACTAATGTCAAACTAAAGTTTGCTCTGTTTAATTTTGCTATTTAAGCGAAATAAGAAGACAAGCGAATTTGAATAAAGTTTTAGCTTACATTATTGGCTGTTTGATCAACAGCAGCGTAAATGAATTGAATTAATTGAGAGTTGCTATCCCTAGTTAGAGTTGCGCGCTAAACAAATAAACACCGTCCCGCAAAGCAGACCACCTGTTTACGCCGGTGACAGCTAGCGGTGCAACAGTAGAAAATTATCTCGATTGTTACCATTTTTTTCATCAAAGAACAAGAAAACCCGGCAATAGACACAACGGCCAAGAAGTGTATTTTTCATTTTCGTGGCTCCAACTCAAATGGCTTCAGAGCATGAGAAAGCAAACTCTTCTAATCTTGAGCTTCCCGCGGGCAACACCAACGAATATCATTGCAGTAGACTGTTAGACGAAGCATTTTTAATCGTTTACGTTGTTCTGGGAGTAGCTATTTTCGTTGGAAATGCGTTTTGCTGTGCAGTGTTCCTGGCTACTCCAAAGCTTCGACGGTGCTATATGAACATATTTCTGGTGAGTCATGGATTCGCTGATATCTTCGTCGCCACTTTGGTCGTTCCAGGGGCCTTCTGTACAAACTGCTCCAAGGATTTCATTTTGCAGCGTATCGTTGATGAAGGAACTTGCCGACTCTTAGACGCCGTGAAGGACTACGTTTGGTTAGCGTCCGTCCTCAGTCTGCTTGGGATCACTTATGACCGATATTTAGCGGTCTTTCAGCCCCTTCTTTATCAGTGTAAAATGACCCCGCGCACGGTCGTTGTTTGTTTGTTGATAATTTGGCTATTACCCGTCCCTTTTTCCTTTATAAAACCCATATTGAACGCTGTAAATGTAGATTTTCTTAGAGACGGATCACTCAGTGAATCTATCTTTGACATGGTCGTAGTATCAACGCTGATAATTTTACCAATGGCGGTTTTGTTTATTGTGAATATCATGATTACAAAAGCCATAAGAAATCAACATCGAAAAGTACAGTGTGAAAGAAGTTACGGCCAAGGGAACTTGAAACCGAAAGAGGGCAGCCGAAAGACAATTGCCTGCTTAGTTGTCGTCCTAATATTTCTGGTTTGTTGGTTTCCTCGATGCTTGCTTAATTTTTTGTTTTTATTTAAAATGCTCCACACCAAAGGCCTGGCCCTTCTCGAGAAGATCTCTTTGGTTTTTCTCTTTATCCAATCGTCTGTCAATCCTTTCTTGTACTCTTTCTATAGAAGAGACTTTCGTCAGGCTGCTAGGAGCTTACTCCAACAATGCTTTCCTTTTAGCTTTCTGCGATCGATTGAAGTTAGACCTCGTCTGAACACAGAAGCTTCTACTGCAAAAGTTTTCCGTGAGTTTTCAAATTGCGAAACTAGACGTCATTCAGCTGAAATGAAACTTCAGGAAATTTGAAGGCTTCACAGCACTTGGAATTGCTCTTGAAAGGTTTAAGTTAGGGGCCTTTCAAATTAACTTCAGCAAAAACATTGACATTTTGGCAAAAGTAAACTGATCGTCACGAAAATGCAGTATATACATATATGTACAAATGCTTCGTTTAGTTGTGTAATTCAAGCTAGCTTTTTGAAAGATTATTTTCTTTTCTGGGTAATTGAATGTTACTACAGCTCGAAAACATTGAAAAAATTAAACCATGTTGAGTGCAAATTCACAATAAAATACTATTTTCACACTGTATTTTTTGTTTCCTTTACAAAACAAAGTATTTCACTGTTTGAATTGTGTCCCCACGTACCACACATAGATGTTCATTAACATTTAAGCAGAAGACCAAAATTAGAGTAAAATTTCAACCAGTGTATAAATTTTTAGTTCGATGCATAATTCCGATTTCCAACATTTTCACTCCTAATGCTAACCAGTTATGCTTTCCTCTCAAAAGCACTTTATACGTAAAATATTATAAATAACAAGCAATTTCTGTGAATACTGACTTTCTAACAATAGTAATTACCTTTAAGGATAATTTTGCTCACTTTTGCATCAACGTGTTTGTTGTACCAGCTGCTGTGACATGACAAGTGATTTGTGTTAATTTTAACAACTACACTAAAAAAAATTACTTGAATAAAACGTAAAACGTCCTGGTGAATAAACGAATCGCGTGAGAAATTGGAGAAGGATAGTCCTTGCGTAAGCGCGTGAAATTGACGCACGCATTTTTGCGCAACAGCGTAAATTTGCCAAGAGTGAAAAGTTAATCACACAGAGAGCATTGTTTGTAATGCTCAATTTAATTGAAATCGGGGAAATTATTGAAAAGTGACAGTAAAATTTATATCAGGTGGTTTGGTGAAACATGACTCTATGTAATGACATTTGACTGACAGCTTTAATTTGAATTTATTTCATATATCCTTCTCCAAAAGACCCGGTGAAACCTTGATGTTCTTCAGGGACTCGATAAAACCCATAACAAGGCGGGTAGAAATCCGTCAGCAACCTGTCAGTTTATCTGTCGAAGCCGATAAACGGACCATGACGACAAAAGTCTTTCTCTAATTATTAAAATTAACAAAGAACTATCCCTGAAAAGCGGTCAAAATAGCCGTGAAAGAAAAGTAAGATTTTCCTCCGTTGCGAATATAAACGTCTTCATTTCTTTGGCTGGGCGGAATTGAGGGGTAAAACTCTCCAGGGAGTTTGTTAGAATTTTCCAGTGTCAGAGAAAAAATGGCCGAGCATTCTTGTGACGAAATGCACTAGGACGAGGCTGGACGTTATCTGGCCTCGTTTTTGTGCAACTCGTGTGAATGAACGGATGCTTATTGGAAGGGAATTTATAACATCAACTTGACCCCAGATATTTATGATTATGGCCTGTTACTGATGATAAATTGCGTCATAGCACTTTCAAAGGAGCTATAGACTCGCCTCGTAGTTAGGATGACATTTATCATCCTATCTTTAAAACTTTTATTATTTTCCCTTAAACTTCCTGTTCGTCCTATGACTACCTTTCTGGTGTATTTTGCCGTAAACAAACTATTGTTTCCATTGACAGGTTTTTACGTTGTAATGCTTGTCGGCAATTGTGACGGAAGTATTAAAAGCAGCCTGCGAGAGCATCAGGGTTTTTTCGGCTCGGTGGGCGTTCTGGTAATTGCGGAGCCGTTGTAGATGTCGTTGTCGGCTTTTGTGGGGGTTTGTGGTCATTGTAAAGGATGTGTCTGTCGTGTCGTTGTGCATGTAGTGGCGCGACTGCTGTGGGCATTTTAATATTAGGGAGCTTAAATAACGACGGTGACCCCGAGGACAACACCTAGTAAAAAGTGGATTTATATTTTACATTGGAATTTCGCAATTTATCTAGATCTGCTCAGTACGACGAGCGGCGTAAACCCCACTCAAACTAAAGATGTATCGCCAGCGATCAATTTCAGAAGAAAACCGAAAACTTATTTGTCGTGCCCCACGTTCTCCAAAATACGCAGAACTTGGTCAGTTCACGTTGTCGGAGTTTGCAGAGGACGGTTACCAAATCATACAAAGATTTATAACGCACGTACACAGCTATTGTTCCGCTCATTATAATTTCCCCTGAATTTTGTCTGGTGACGTTCTTGTTGGCGTTGCCGTCGTAGTTTGCTTAAGCTCACTAATGGCCACAACGAACATGGCACCGCGACATAAGGGAGCTTAAGCAAACCACGATGACGACGTCAACGAGAACGTCACTAAACACAAGGTTTAATAAGCAAAACAATAGCTGTGCACGTGCATTATAAATCCCTTGTGCATTTCTTTGCCGTCCTCTGCAAAACAACAACGTGAAATGACCAAGCTCTGCGTCGTCTACGGAACGTGGACGACGACGGTTAATTTTTCGTATTTCCATTTGGAACTGAACGCCGTCGTTGCATATTTAGCTCAAGCACGTGTTCAGAGCCATTGGCGTACCGAACAGATCTAGACAATCGCGAATTTCGGTTGTAAAATATAAATTCCTTTTTAACAAGGCGTCGTCCTCGGCATCGTCGTCGTCGTTACTTGAGCTCCCCATTACGTGAAATGACCAAGTTCTGCTCGTATGCGGAAGTTACCTTAAGCTCCCCCGACAACGGGCGCAGCTCTTAAAATACCCAAACACCCTTGATTTCTAGACCCAAGGCAGTTCCCTGCCCCCTTGGAAGCTTGACGTATCAGGGTTTTACCATAAGTTATGGGAGACTCGATCTTTTTTATTTTTTCGCTTTCCGATGACTTAATTACGTTCTGGGCTGCCAGTTTGATTGTGCGCGTACGTTCGCATAAGTGTACGTTTTCTGAACATGCGTAGAGAGAGTATCCACTGTGACAATATAACGCTGACTCACCTCAAATTCTTGGTGCTTGCCAAAAGAATCGCGGGATATAGAGTTTTCCCTAGCTAACAGAACGCGTTGGATAGGCTCCGTGCCGGACAATACAATACACACAACTTTTTTTTACAATACATTTTTGTTTGTTAGTGACTCTGATCGAGGAAAATGGGCTATCAAATGCATTTTACCTAATACGTTTCCAAGTAACTAAGATACCTCCAAAAAATTGTGATTTCAGTAATTTAATATTCCTTATTCAGACTCTCAGGTTTGAAGCGTAACTATTTCTATTGCAAAAGATTCGATATATTCATTTTTTTTTTCTTTTTTCGGTCACTGAATCGGCAAATGTGATTCCTTTAATGTTGTAAGTAAGCTTTCATCTATCTTTTAATTTGGACTTTATAAGCCCTAGTTTTCACTATTACAAATAAAAACCCTGAAAGACCCCGCAAAAAGGTTGTTTGGTATCGACAGGCTGCCAGGCTATTTGATTATTTCAAGTGCAAGTAAAGGCAAATGTAAATTACCAAAGACACATTCAGCCAGTAGGGATTGATGGAGATTTATGATGTCGGCGGCGGCAGTCGATATGGCTTCACACTAAGTATGAATTTACTAGTGATTTAATCAGTTTGTTTGTTTTCAGCTTCATCTCTTGGACATCGTGAAAACAACTTGGCCATTTCAAGCGATATTGAACAGATGCTGTTATGAGCTGAATTTAATTTCTCGGAAAGTGTAATTACTGCACGAACGAAATGAAATCGTTGTCGGTCGCAGAATCGTTAGTTTTAATGAAAAACTATGATGTTATCAGTTTCAGTATCAAAGAAAATGGGCCAATAGAAACAAGAAACAAAACGGTTTTGTTTTATTACAAACTGATTTTCAATGGCTTCAGTCGATCTCAATCGCAAAACATTTTGGTTAATACACAGTGAATACAAACCGCCACCACTGTGAAAAGCTTTAAAGGAGGCTATAATTTTGTAAGCTCAGTGAAGAACACTTGTTCCCGTGGGTCGCAATCGCATAAAAAGGCGGCCGTGATATCGGTTATTAATACTAGCGGAGAAAAGTCGCAATTTAAAAAAGCATTATTTTGTCCCCGTGGTAATTAATATCTACTAGTTGTTTGCAAAACATCGTTACGTGGTAATGAAAGTCTTTCCAGATGCTCAATTTCATCTCGCTCATCATTATTGTTTTCATAGGCCTGCACATTTATCAGTATGCAGATGAATCACATCTTCAATTCGTTTATTGTCACGGTCGTGCGCTTCAGTCGAATGCGAAACCGGCCGGAATCTTTTATCATTAAAATGATATTCCATCAACCTCACAGTGAGATTAATCCGGCTTACTTTGCATTCGGCTCGGTACGAGGTATTTTGAAGTCGATCAAAGACTTTTCGATATGATGTGAAACGGTGCTTTAACTGGACAACGGACTGCTTAAGACGGCATCCAGTGGGGGCGTATAGAGGACAAATTTTCCTATCTATGCATTAAGTTTACACAGGACACCTTCTGATTGCTATTACTCACGAGAAAACGGCCTGAATAAAGATCCTCGTGGGCGGAAATCAAGAATAAAGTCGATAAAGGTGGAGAAAAATATCTTTTATAAATCTCGGTAAACCGCATTGCACACTTTATCACCAGGGGGTCGAGGAAAATGATCGAATTCTGATTGCTTTGTGTTTTCAAATGAGCTAAAAAACCATAACAGGTTTCTCGGCAGGATGTTCAATTAGGACACCAGCAGAAACCATATAAATGAAGTGACAAATCTGTCGCTGTACTTGTCTTCTTGAAGATCAAGACAATTTTGACGTTAGTTTTTGGACAGGTGGAAGCAAATAGAAAGTGACTAAGCGAACTGACCGTTTGCACGAGAAATAGATTGATCAATTATTCGACTGAGCAGACGTAACCTCAGCAGATATCGCCGTGAACGCACGATCATTCAAAGATATAACTGTATTTGCAAGGAAAACAGCCTTCCAGGAAGTCTAAGCTAGTTGTTTTATCTCGACTCATCGACCAAAACAGCCAAGTTCCCCATCGCTATCTAGAAAGGTTAGTTGGTTTTGGTGTGTCAAAACTGACAACAGCGACAGAAAAACAAACGTGCACGCGAGCTCGATAGGAAAGAAACAAGTTCTTTATTTAAGGCAACAAATAGATCTCAATAGGTTGACAATCAAAGACTATACCGAAGGGGAAAGGAATTGAGAAGAAACCAATTAAACAAAGGAAAGAAAACTTGTTAAACACGGCGTGGAAGTCGCAACATGGCTGTGAATGGGAGTGCGGAGCCAAACCGATCCGCCCATCTGGAAAATCTTCTTTCGCTGTACATGAAGTTTGAATTCGCCGAGGGAATCTGTCTTTCTGTCATATCCTTATTAACGGTATCAGCCAACATTTTACTTCTGATAGCAGTGTGGAAAGATCCCGAGAAAAGCTTTCGATCGCCAACTACTTATTTCTTAATTGGACTTGGGATAACAGATCTTCTCACAGGCGCCACAACGGAGCCATTTTTTGCGCTCTACTACATCATGCGTTTTCTACGTGGCGGCGAAAACATCCCCGCGTCTATTTCTCGTCTCTACGAAGTGGGACAATCAATTTCCACCGTGACCATAAGTTCCTCGTATCTGATAATTCTGGGTTTGTCCATGTCGCAATATATTGCCATTAAGTGGCCTCATAAGTACAAAGTTTTAATCACAAGGAATCGCGTAATTGTCAGTGTTTTGCTTAGCTGGCTCTACTTCATATGTTTCATTCTGGTTCTAACTGTTTCACCGAACATCGATACAGATTTGTTTCTGAAGGTAGACCTGGCATTGCATCCCGTTTTAATTTCATCTGTGCTGTTTATAACCTTGATTTTACTGTACAGAGTTTTTATGAGGCAAGTACAACAGAGAAAATCTTTCCGAGATTCCGAGAAAAAACTACAGGGCGCCCCTCAGGGAAGATCGGATAACCTTCAACGTCAGTTTACTATCGTGACGTTTTACTTGGCCGCGATTCTTCTGATATCAGCTTTACCTCATATCGCTGTTCAGTTTGTATGGTTGTACGCGAATCTTCCCACGGAGGGTATTTATTACATCTTTATGGCGCTGAGAATTCGAGATCTGTTGTTGTTCCTTAAGGTGGCGCTTGACGCATTCATTTACGCCTGGCGATTGCCAGCTTATCGGCAAGCGTTGAAAAAGTCATTGAAATGCTTAAAGGCCACAAGAAAACCACAGTCGGAAGAGGAGGAAATACAGTTGTGATCGCTTTAATTGATTGAGGTTTAATGTCATTGTGCGCCAAAAAAAAAAAAAAAAAATTATGAGAACTAGTCCAAAAACTGTGACATTTCATTTGAGAATATAGTTGTTGCTTTTTGTTGAACGAGCTCCTGTGTAAATTAATAAATTGGACAGGAAAGCCACGTCTTGTACAGTCAGACTCTTGGGAAACTAAACGAAAACAGAATGATCGTTTGATCATGTAACTCCCCAGTCTAGTTGCTAAGAACTATGACGTCCAAATTTATAACGTCAAGCGTTCTTATCAGTTTCAAGAAGAAAATATCTTCACTTTTTACGACAATGTTATGAATAATCAGTATTGCGGTGCAAAGAGATATATAGTCAAGGTTCGGCGTAAGTGTGTCTTAATAAATAATTCAGTAACAAAATAGGAAATAAGTCATAATAGAAAATCCATTGACGTTGACACTATGACATGTGTCAAGGATCTTAAACCAATCACTATGCGTGTGGACCTAGACTGGTTTTATATTGACCTTCTTTGACATCTTTGATTCCGATATATTTTCCACTGTACGTAAATAGATTTCTTTTCTGTTTCTCATCATTTCTGATTTGCATCATCTGAGATTGAAAGTTTTTGTGAATACACCTGCCATGAGGGTACTTGACTAGATGCGAGGTCTTCAAAATGCCAATCCGATTTCTGGCATATGAGCGTTCTAACTGCAAAACACTGACAACAATAGAAACAAACTTTCCTTTGAAAACCGTGGGAATCACCATGCGTGCGCGAACAAGATTTCGTTTTTAATCGTTTCTCCCGTGCGTCTTGAAGAAAATTTGGTAGTTTCAATTCATTAATGACCTTTCTTCCTTACACCTTAGTTTTTAAATTACCGCACCGTGAACGATAAAAGTTTGGCATGACAGCAATATTCACCAACGTTATAGTTCTCTCTTCGTGTTTAATTAAGACAATTTTACGAGGTTTTTCTTTGGACTTAATGCAGAATTTGATTTTTGCCAAATTGGTTTTAACGACAAGTCTGTCAATTTACCCGACCAACTTATAATTAAAAGGAAACGAACACTGTGATAATTGGGGTCAATTTCCTGTCTCTCTCTCAAGCCCAGTTATTATTCCTTCTCTTAGTGAGGGCGGGTTTATTTTCCTCGGTATGGTTGTATTGGTTATCAATCTATACAGCCCCGTCCACACTGCGCTAGTGGAATTTGAAAACGGAGTTTTCACTCTAAAAACGCATAAAATGTTTTCCGTCCACACTACGCCGGAGAAATAAAAAGCGCAGCAATCGCTGGTCATTTTGGATTTGTGTTTGAGGAAAACTCGGTCAAGGAAATCAAATGATTATCGTGACGCAATTGTTTTCGAAAAGCCCCGTTTTCAAAATGATTTCCGTCCACACGAAAACGAAAAACTGGCATTTCAAATTCCTCCGGCTGGAACATCGTTTTCGAAAAGCTCCGTTGTCGTGACGGATTAATGTGGACGGTAGGCCTAAACGTAGAAATGAAGCTTCGTTTTCAAATTCCTCTGGCGCATTTTGGGCGGGGCCTAAAAACACCAAATGTTCGAGCACGTTTGAGTTTCTTTGGTGTACCAAATCCTACAGATTTCATTTCTCTTGATCGGCTGATTATATACAAGTTATATATTAAGCTGCCAACGGTGAAATATAGATATATATTTTTGTGCTGTAATTTATACTGAATGGGTAAGTTTTAGGGAATTGAAGAGAATTTTCTGTCTTCTGACAGACGATTAGTTCACGAATTAGTGGAGACCAGCTATTAAAAGAAGTACTTTTCCCGAGCTCGGTTTGTCGCCTTTGACAAAATACATTACTAAAATCAGAGTGTTTTGAGAGTTTTTCGGTTTTTATTTTCCATGATTCGCAAAAATACGTTTCCGCAAAAGAAAAAAAAAAATTTTTCGCAAAACTTTTCTCCGGAAAAACTTTCTCTACTGGCGAAATTATACATACAAACATTACATGAAGAATCTTGGTGCCATTTATTTCGTTGAGAAACAAAACTCGAGGGATACGCATCAAGTGGGCATGGTAGCGTAGTTTTTGCTGATCCATAGTCGGTCACTTTACAAATAAAAATTTAAGCAATCTAATTTTATTCACCTGTTTTGCGAGACTTGCAACGGCGTGAAACTACTTCATCGATCGATGCAAGACGTAAACAGGTGTCCTAACGAGCTCTAATAACTTCTTGAATCTAAAACTCTCCTTTCCACCTCGAAAACTTAATGTACCAACAAAATTTACGCTGTTTCTTACACCGATAAGGTGACCTGTGATGCTAATTAGGCGACCCGAAACAAAACGAAGAAATTACCTTTGAATTTGGTAGCCATGAAGTTCTGTAACTCTATGCTTCGTGCAACACCAGCTGACCCCACTTAAACTTTTTTCAGGCTGCGAATCAATTCATTTTTGGATTCGTTTTGCCTTTTCACAAAAGACTGCGCTTTGCTGCATGTCGATTTTCTTTCACGTTAAGATGAAATAACCGCGTTTAGATCAAACTCGGAAGTGATGCGTTTCTGAAATTCCTTTCAAGACCTCGTGATTAAGAAAAAATGCCCTCTGTCTCAGCCAATCGTGCAAAAAGGTGTCCGTGTTCATCCAAAGTTTTGGGTAATTATGAATAAAAATGTTTTTCACTGCTTTTGCGTTTTGTGTAGTTTGAGATTATTCAAACTCAAAACGGAAGGTCAAACAGTATACAGAAAACCTCACCGCAAATTTACAAAACTCAAATCAAAATTCTCGCTTATCCTGGGTTAGCTTAATCGGGTTTTGATCAATTCGGCCCAGCAGCTCCGCTTTTAGGCTTGGCTAAATCTCTATATTAGTTACACGAGACAAACTCTGGGTTGGCTCTGCTTACTGCTCTGAACCGACGATCACCTCTTTTGAAGATTTTCACAGCTGGTTTCAGTTGGCCCTGAAAATCCGGCACTAAATTGAATGTTTCATTAGGAGTGATTTTAATACCGAACTCGTGCAAATCCTTGATACACCGATTTTCGTAGTAGTCTATTTTTACTCCGATCACAATAACTCTCTTGACTTCATTAGCAACTCACTCACCCAGCTCACTAACTCGCCTTCTCGCTTATCCACCCACGCACACTCGCACCCACGCACGCACGGGCGCCCGCGCAACCGCTTTTCCACCTGTTCAACACGATACATGTACCCCATTAAGCGGTTTAAGTGGATTAGACATAATTTACAACTTAGCGTTAATATATGTGATAATTTTGATTGAATTAGTAAATTCATATTTCATCTCAGCGTGTCTTTCTCTTGAAGAAACGTTCATAGCATCTCTGTTACTTCAATTCTGCTTTTAGCTGTTGAATTACTCGTAGTGTTTTCCTTCTAAAGAAGAACGTACAGCAATAAAGTTCTTGAATAACCAACGTGACCGTACGCCACGTATGCATGGCCGCGCATCTCATGTTTCTGGCGGGGGCGTGTGAAGTATCTTTTACACGAATGTTTCATGATCCCAACTTGTTACATGACAGTAATTTTAAGGTAGCGCGTCGAATGTCAGCCCTGTAGAAGGAATAAATAAACGGATTCACTGAGGACTGCACGATAAAGAAGAAGATCGACAACTTTTGAAGGAGCATGTTCGAGCTAAGGTCTGTCGTTATCACAGACCGAATGTTAAAAGAGATTCGAGGAATCCAGGACACCACGAAAACAAACACGACGACGGCACAAGCAATTGTCCCCTTCCATTTGCGAGCCATTTCTGTTTGGCCCTCTGTGCTGACAGTTTTGTCTGTATCTTGCGTATTTTTAAGGGCGAAAACCTGATGGACTTGCTTCCGAATGGTCCGCATGATTTTGATGTTAACGACAGAGATTATTATGCACGGAATGAGGAGGACAACAATAAGAAGTATCACATTGTACTTGTGGTTGATCGCGCTGAGTTCATCGCCAGTGAGCGTGTGGTTCCAAAAATTCCGGATGAGAGCCACGGAAAAGGACAGGCTCCAGATAATAATTATGATGAAGATAGCCCTGCGTCTGGTCATCAATACGGGGTACTGCAAGGGCTGGTACACCGCTAAGGCGCGATCATAAGAGATCGCAAGTAGATTGTAAATACTCGACGCAAGAGCGATGTCTTTCGAGCCTTCCATGAACCAACAGTACCTGCTCACAGAGTACTCCAGACAGCCAACACAGAACAGCGAATAACTCGGCACCACAACTGCGGCCATAAGAATATCAGTAATGGCCAAAGATGCGATAAACAGGTTCATCGGCTGCCGTCGAAGTCGAGGACGGGTCGCTATGGACAGGAACACCGATACGTTACCAAGCAGAATGACAGCGCCAAAGGCGATGTTAAGAACCATGAATGTTGTCTCTAGTGCCTGGTCGCAAGATGAACGATCACTTATGTTTGCCTCTAGAAGTGAGTTGTTCATTGGCATCTCCTTTTGACCGGTTTCTGATCTTGTCACAATTCTCACTTGTCCGTGAAGATGGCAAAGTCGATTTTTAACGATAAAATTTCCCAGACATTTGTGTAGTCGTAATCGGCTCGCACGATAATAACTTGCTCTTGTCCTGGTGAGACCGACAAGGTAGCGATGATCGTATTTGAAGGCAAATTGTCGCGGAAGTATTCAAACACCTTGTTTGATTGCTGGGCAAGTTCGCGAAACTAGTTTCTGACAATAAACTGCGTAGGTCTGCCGCAACTTTGGCTGTAGTATGAAGGCGAAGGATATTCAATTCCCTCAGATAAAAAAATTAATGACTTTGTTTCGTTTATCGAGAACTCTCTTAGGCGCGTAACAACTGAAATGCTCTTAGCTTCTGAATGCACAGCTTCAAGTACTAAGTCTAAAGATGTTGGCTTTAATGGATATTTTTTCATATACAAATGATTTGCCGTCAAATGGACTTCGCGAAACAAAGACTGTACCATAATAGAATAGAAAGGAAAGAAGACCAAAGAAGGCCTCAATTAACTGACGCATCTATTTGAAACTAAACATATGGTCGTAGTTGGTTTTTAAAGAACTAAATATCTTTAAATTGCACACAACCTTTTTCAGATGTAATGCATGGCTTATGTGAAACTTATGATTTTTCCGACGCAATTAAACACTGATGTAAATATTTATCATTTATCATTGAATTATTATCATTTCGCAAACTTTTTGTTCGTTTTGAGATCCAACAGCCACCTAGTCATGCAAGATGGCAGCGCAATATAGGTTCTTAGCTGACTATAGAGAGTCAACAACAACTTTGGTAAAGAACAGAATGTTACAAAGACCACTTGAACGTAATGTCCGCTCTCAATCAAGTGTTTGCTTTAGCTTTCTCAGTAGCGATATAAATTTTGTCAAAAAAAGTGCAAAAAACGATAGAAAGTTCGATGCAATTAAAACTGATTTCCGAGGAGAAAAGAAAACAAATGAATAAGCGAAGATATTTACATCGCACGATAACAAACCAGGCAGTGCCAGACAGAAATGCTCGCTTGATTAAATAGAAAAACGCGACACGTTGTTGAGGGTTGTTATAATACTAAACCATGATGAATTCTACCAAATTTTGTACTTGATCAAGATGGATTAAGTGCTGGTCTTAAACTGACGTACAGGCAACGCCAAAAAATTTACTCCGAGGGTTTTAATTAAAAGAAATTCATATTTTGAAAGCTTGAGTACTAAATTTCGTATATCAGTGAAAAAAAACACTGGGCCGCATACACGATGGAATTGTATTGGTGTAGTTAGCTAAGGTTAAGAAAATATCTCCTCTAAAAGTCTCATCCTGTTTCATGAAACGATCAGTGAAGAGATTTTCTCTCCTTATGGAGTTTGTCACTGTCCCAAATTAAGTAGCATATAAGCAAGTCGTATTCTCAAGCCACCAACTTTGGCTGTCAAACGAATATTTTCCGTTTCATATACTTTCCGATTTCGTGGAGAATATATTTTCAACCGAGAGTGAGGTCAATACGGCAAAGCCGGTGGTTTGAGTTTCCCGTAAAGACCGAACGTTCAATAAGTCAATAAGTTGGTTATTACATGGTTTTCTGCTTTGTTTTTGAAGGCCTGCAATCGGCCCGTGGGCATTACAAGAATAATGCCCTCTCGTTAGCCAATCAGAGCGAGCGTTAAATCGGCTACAAACACAAGCCATATAATAATGATGAAATATTCTTCGTTAAAGTAATCTGGTAACCCGCAAATAGCATCAGCTAATTGAAGCAGCAAGTGACGTGCGCGAAAAAATAGCGACAAAAATACTAAAACAGAAAGACAGACAGACAGACAGACACACACACACAAAAAAAAAACAAGGAAAAAGACGAATACAGCTACGGGTTATGACAAATTAACTAAAAGAAGGCAAGAAAAGAGACCAAAAAGCTTTCTGTGAAGACAAGCTTGTGACTCTAGAATGTCTGGAATAGGGTTCGGGTTAGTATCTTGAGCTATGATTGGTCGGGGTTTCCAGAGGCAATGATTGATCAATCACAAATCACGTACTCATGTGCTAATTGATCATTTTGTTAAAAAGTTGACAACAAGCCAAGTGGCCCGTCAGGCCGGAGATTATCCCGGTTTCTGTAGCATGAAGCGACCAGGAGTATTTCTACTCCCCCTTGGATGAGATGTTAGCTCATCGCAGGGTTACCCCCCAGCATTACATTCGCCGGTACTCATTTATACACCTGGGTGGAGAGAGGCACTGTGAGAGTTAAGTGTCTAGCCCAAGAACACAACACAATGTCCCCGGCCAAGACTACTCGATCCGGAGCACTAACCATAAGCCAACTGCGTCTCTCACGAGGGAGCTTCAGCAACGACGACGGCGACGCCGAGAACGACGCCAAGTCAAAATTGAATTTATATTTTATCAGTGAAATTCGTGATTGTCTAGATCTGTTCAGTACCCTAATGGCTCTAAAAACATGCTCCAGCTATATATGCAATGAGAGCGTTCAATTCCAAATGTAAATACAGAAAATTAGCCTTAGTCGTTCACGTTCCTCAGGCTACGCAGAACTTGGTCATTTCACGTTCTTGGGGGACTTAAGCAATAACGACGACGACACCGAAGACAACCCTTAGTAAAAAATGAATTTATATTTTACCTTCGAATTTCTCAACTGTCTAGATCTGTTCAGTGCGCCTACTGGTCTCAGAACGTGCTCAAGCTAAATATGTTACGCCAGCGTTCAAATAATATTCCAAATGAAAATACGAAAATTTAGCCGCTGTCGTTTGCGTTCTCCAAAATATGTAGAACTTGTTCATTTCACGTTCGTGTTTTGCAGAGAACGGCAGAGAAATGTACAAAGATCTATAACGCACGAGCACAGCTATTGTTTTGCTCATTAAACCTTTTGTTTGGTGACATTCTCGTTGCCGTTGTCGTCGTGGTTTTCCTAAGCTCATTACTCGAAAATAAACGCTTTACGATCATGGTGCGTGCTTGTCTCAGGTTACGTCCCAAAGACAACAATAACTCTGAAGGGTCTCTTCAAGTTTATGGACAATTATTGCAGTAATGACCACTCTGGTAGTATATACCCTTAGAAATGTACTCAAACATGACATAAGCTGGTATCATTAGATCCCATCCTGTTTATTCAATGAGTATGGCGATCGATTTTCATTGATACACCGGAAAAAATACTTGTCGATGAGTAATATTTACGATTTTTCAAATTCAATATTCCTGAGCAATTCTCCCTTGAGTTCTAGAGTACAAGGAAGGGTTTTAGCCAACGCTTTTTTTTTAAATAAGCCGAAGGCTAACGTCCTTTCTCTCTGTAAATAAATCTCAGTAGGTAAATTGAAATTATTCCAGCTGTTATTTTTTTTTTAATGAGAAGCTTGTGCAAAGTGAACGACAATTGAAATTGAAGTTGTCGAAAGTACGTTGACGCATACTGTTAGCTACTGTTAACCAATATTCAGGGATGCAAATATATAAAAATTGCTGGATATGGAAGTGTCATTCGCTTTCTGGAGAACCGGAGCCGACTGGACAAGTCTATTGTAAAGATCTGCCGTTACTCATACCGGCTACTGGATGAACTTTTCGCCCGGCCGACAAAGATACCTTCTTTCTATGCACAGTATTCGCCTTGAATAATATTCAGTGTAAATATACTTATGTGAATTAAGCAATACTTTGGGGGAAAACATTATTCGAAAAGATTGTTGTGAATTGAGAACGTAACGATAGCCGAAACTCATTCAAAAACGAAGTCGTTGCCAAGAAAGGGTTAGAAAGTTCTGTGGCAGTTTGTTGATACTCTTGAAAGCTCCAGATGAATTTTTCGGTTTTTCCTTCTCCGTCAGCCTTGGCTCCAGAAAACTTTCTATCAACGCTGGGCGAAGCTTTGCAGCCGCAAAATAAATCTGATTTCAAGACACCGCTTTGCGACCGACGCCTTGATGAGGTGTTTTGGGTTGTAAACGGTATCACTGCTGTGGTCATTTTACTTGGGAACAGTTTCACGTGCACTGTGTTCTTATCAAGTTCTTACTTGAGGCGAAACTACATGAACATCTATTTGATCAGCCTGGGTGTCGCTGATATTTCAATGGCCGTGTTAGTGGTACCAGGGTTCGCCGCATTTTGCAGTGGCTGCACTTACAAATGGAGCGAGTACTGCTGGTTTTTTGGAGGCGCGAGAGATATATCATTTCCTGCTACTGTCCTCAATGTATTAGCCATCACCTACGACAGATACACGGCCGTCATAAGACCGCTTCATTACGCATCCACGATGACTAATCGCAAAGTTTTCACCATTCTCGTTGCCGTCTGGGTTACACCCCTCGTTGTCTGGTCCCTGAGAAATATTTGGTTTCATTCGTGGAGTGAAGAAGCAGTTAAGAAGGCCGACACAGTTTACAATGCAGTCCTTATTACAATTTTCGTTTTCTTGCCTCTTCCAGTGTTGTTCATTGTTAACCTTCAGATTATGAGGGCTATCAAGAGTCATGGAAGTCGGATTCACGCAGATATGGTCGAACGGATGCATCTGTCTTTCCAGTCTTCTACAATCGTCACAGTTACAGAACCTTCCACGAGGGAATTTGGAAACGAACTCGTGAGTAATGCAGATTTAAATGTGCAAAATCGGAGGAACATTTCACGACGGAGAAAAGGAACTTTGTCCTGTGTTCTAGTGGTTTTTATTTTTATCATTTCTTGGCTCCCGAGAGCTTTTCTAAATTTCTGCTACCTTTTCGGTCGACGAGACTTAACAAGCCCCATGCTTATAAAACTTTCTTTGTTTTTGCTTTTCTTTCAGTCTTCTGTCAACCCTGCGATATATTGCTTTCTTAGAAATGATTTCCGCCAAGCAGCTAAGCGGTTAATTAAATGGCGTTAACTGTAAAAATCATTAGTTCCATAAGCTTAAAGTAAATTCAGTTTTTGAGTTTTAATCTGACAGATAGATGCGAAAAAACTGAACGCTTTTTGTTCATAATTAATCACATTGAGCAGACATGTTTGGTTGGTACAGAAGGTGTGAAAATTAAGTATTCTGACGAAATTAACAGATTTAAATGTTAGAAGACTAATTGAAGATAGAATTTTTCAAAATAATTGCTTGAGAAGATGAAAAAATATTCGTTGTAGTTAATGTTGGCACTTTGTTCTCATTGTAAAGTAGCATGCCGGATTAAGTGCCTCAGAATATCTTTTACAGTAAAATAACAATTAATATGGCAACAGATAGAGAAACTTTAATTGTCATTTTATTGTAAAGATGTGTTTGCACAAAAAACCAGGTGAAATACTTGGCTCGATTTCCGCCGCTCTCTCGAGTCCCGTCAACTTGGGGATAGCAGAGAGAAGATATAATTAACAGAACCATCTCTACAACTGTCTTGCAGGCTTCTGTCGAGAAACGGACGCTCCACGTATATCTTCACCCTGGAGTTCCCCATATTCAATCTTGTTTTCTTCAAGTTTATTGAGAAACTGCGTGGCGTTTTTCTCATTTCCTCACTAGTGAAGATATTGATATATATTTTTCATTTTTTTATTTTCGTTTTTTATCTGCACGTACGTATTTTGAACGAGCTTTTAACTCACTAGACGATACGTGGGTAAATAAATGATTGATTGATTGATGTCGTCATTTCCCGCTTTTTCACGGTTTTTTATGCAAACAGTCATTGCCTATAATAATCGAAAAAAAAAAAACAT